TGTTTCTACTTAAAAAATGATTTTTAAAGTTCTCTACAGGAAGTTCTTCCAAAAAAAGGTATTTAGTGTTCGAGAAAAAAGTGTTTCTGAAAAAGTAAAAGTTAGTAGTGTTTGAAAAATAAGTGTTTTTTCTGTAATAGAAAAAACGAAAAGCAATTTAAAGCATTTCTCAATCTACTTTTAGCTTTTAAGTGCTTAATTTAAGTAGAAGTTGTCAATTTCATCTTTTTTTTATCAAAAGCTGAAAAGCGTTTTTTTATTTTTTGCAAACACTCTCTAAGTATGACTTGTACTGCGTTTTTACTTGGGAATTTTTTACAAGTAAATTAAAATATGGAATATTAAATAAATGCTCCATATTTTTGTCACCTTTAAAATTTTCCTTCAGCTATATATTTTTTCAAAAAAAAAACAAACAAAAATGAGAGTTTTTTTTACTAAAATAATGCTGCATAATAAAATATAGAGAAAATTGGGTGTATGTACATAATTAAATATGTGCGCTTAAGTTAATATTATGAATTAACAAAAACTAATTAGATAGATTTTCTTAAAAACCACCGGTGCACTTTGTCTATTAAAATGAGTTAACTACTTGTAGTCCGCAATTTTCCTCCTAATATCATAAACACTGGAAGTTGCGTATGATAGTTTAAAAGTTTACGAGTGGTATATTATCAAAAAAGTGCTATGTATTTTAATAAATAAAATAGTGGCTATGAACTTCAATTGACCTATTTCTTTAGGCTATATAGCATTTTTTCCCTAAAATATATACAAAATTGATGTTGAATTAAAACATTTTACCAAAATGCTACTCATCAAACCCCGGTTAACTAAACCGCCAATCCAATTGGGTAACGGAAGAAGCAGGCTCCGCGTGACAAAGGAGGAGATGAGCATTAGTGGGACCAAGCAAAATAAATTAAACCCCGATGGAGTTTAATCCAACTACGAAAGCTAAATATACGTAGAGTATAGAAATAATATCGAAATAATATGGCAGCGTAAGGCAGTATTACTCTTATTCCTGAGATTGAATTCTCATCCCCTTGGTAGGGTGTTTACATGAATTATTTATAGAGATTAGAAACTGGAATTATGGGAGGAATCTAATACAATAAATGCATAATTAACGAACTATATCCTTGCTCGAAATAGAACTACCTTTGTGCTTCATCCTCACGCAATAATCATCTCCTAATTTCGGTCGAGTCCTGCCCGTTACCAAATATCTATCATCGAGTGATAGCTTGCCACATAGGCCTTAGGAATATCCGGCCTCACTAGAACTCCGCCCAGGCTCTAGGTCTGCTGTCCAGCCCGGCCTGGCTATGGATTCCTATCGTGGGCCTAATTCCTAATGGGCCAAGCGGCTTATTCAATATAAATCCCATTCATGGGTTAATCCTGTTAATTGGGCTAATCCCGTCAAGGGCTGATCCCATTTATGGGCTAATCCTGTTAATTAGGCTAATCCCGTCAAGGGTTGATCCCGTTTATGGGCTAATCCTGTTAATTAGGCTAATCCCGTCAAGGGTTGATCCCGTTTATGGGTTGGGTTACGTAATTGAGCCATGGCTAGAATCCATGGTACCATCTCGAGCCCCCTTACTCCTCAAAATTAGCAAGGCTGAAATTTGGAGGAGTAAAATCGGAGCGGTTCTTGGACTTTGAATTTTGAATCTTTCATAGGTTGTTGTAGCTCTGCCTAGTAATTATTGCGCCGAAGTAGGCCTGCAGTCTGGGCTCAATTTCCGATCCGACTCTTCCCCTTTTCAAGGTACTCAAGTGCTTTATTTCGGCTTCCTAAGCGGTTTTCTGCTTTCAAACCCTAACACTTTAGTGCTTTTAAATATTGGCTTCCATTGCTAGCTAAACTTTTCACACAATTCTTCTCGCATCAGCGCCTTCATTCGTCCTCAGAGGAACCCTAGGTCTTTGGAAAGTCCTCCTTATCTCCTCCCTTTTTCCCGGACAGTTCTCATGTCTTCCTCAAGCTCTATTCCCGTTCATCAGGTTTTCCCGGATGGCGGAACAGTTTCTGTCTGTCCCAAAATCCCTGTTGATGCCGACGGGGTGGAAACCCGCTTTTTCCTTTCTTACGAACATGCTCGGGAGATTCCGGCTGTGGGGCTTTCTGATACGGAATTTAATGAAGTTGTGGCCCTCGCAGGTCCAAGCATAATCCGTTCTCGCCCTCTACCGGGTCAAAACATTGTTGAACCCCCTTCTCCCCTTCATTTAGGCATCCATACCACTAGCCTTCAAGTAGGATTCAGGTTTCCCTTGCATGGTGCTTATCTTGTCATTCTGGATTGCTATGGGGTAATTCTGGGCCAATTCTTCCCCACTACTCATATGTTCATCGCTGGGTTTATCGCTCGGTGCATAAGTTTGAAAATTCATGTCAACATTGACCTCTTCCTTCATTTCTTCCACTCTGTGAGGCCTGGTGGTTTTGAATCTCCGAGCTATCTGTCCATTTCTCAGCGGGCTGGCCACCGCCTATTTGAGGTCAAGTCCTACCTTGATTCTTTCAAGGGATGGAGGCACAGATGGGTTTGGGTCACTCATGTGGATGGAAAGCTTCAATTAGGGGTGGGCATAACGGTTTGGTTTAACCGAACCGTACCAAACCGAACTAAACCGAAACCGGACCGTATGCAATTTGGTTTGATTTTGGTACTATTTCTTTCAAACCGTATTAAACCGAACCGAACCAAAACCGAACCGAATTAAAGAAACTCAAAAAAATCATATATTATTAACATTGGTGGTTTGATTTGGTTTGGTTTGGGTTTACTTAAGTAACTCGTTTGGTAAACATTTGCTCAAACCGAATAGTTTGGTACTTTGGGTTGGTTTGGTTTAAAACGGAAAAACCGTAAACCGAACACCAAACAACATATATATATACACACACACACACACACACACACACACTTTGCATTAATCTTCACTCTTCATTTTTAAGATATAAATAAATAATTTAGACATGAATATACATATTGAAGCATATACTCGTATCATTTTAATTTTTAAACATTTCATACATTCATTATGACAAAGTTAGCTAATACGACATATTTGTACGAAGTATTTATTATGTTTGGCGATAACAATAACAAATTGCATTTATATTTTTACATGATTCATTTCAATAAATTTGTGAATATTACAACATTTGTACCACCGACTCTTTTAGGTTTTTTGAATATTTTTTGTGATATTACAAATGCTAATCAACTATCTTATTTTTTGTAAGAAGTGAATTTTTTGTAGTGATAAAAAAGATGTTAGAAGTTTTAATTTATAATGTTTTATTATTTATTTTTCTATCATTTGTTTCCTTTTACATTTTATTTTTTGTAACATTCAGTTTTTTGCTTTAACATTTTTCCTCCATGTATATCTTGCTTTAGGTTATATAGTATTTTCCTGTTTTTTATATAGTTAAATTGACTTTGAAAATACATACTTCTGTATTATGAATGTTTTGGCAAAATGAATGTTTTGATAGTACAATTACTTTAACTAGCATGCTTCTTTATATGGGATTTTATTTGATGATATACACGTCTCTTCCACTTTAACTAGCATCCTATAGGTTACAATTCAACAATTTAGCTTATCTATATTTTTAATATATACAACTCCTTTGATGAAGATGTTTGAGATTGTATTATTTTTGTTGTCAACTAAAAATGATAGTTTTGGAGTGTGAGATTTTTGTTTGTTGTTAAATTATTAAAATTATAATTTTGATCATGATGGTAAAAGTGATGATAAATGTATTTTGTTTGTGTAATTATTACTTGCAACTTTCAGATAGTATATCAACCAATTTTTCTTTTTGGTTGCAGGTCATATCATTGAAGGCAAGTGTGTGCGCAAGTAAAACTTATTTCAATGTCATTGACTTTTTTATGTTATTGACTGGAATGTGTTAGAGGATAAATATAATTGCTAGTTCTTGAAATAAAATGTGAAACTTAATACACTAAGATAACATTGTCCCATAATCTTTGAAGTCGATTGTCTTCTTTTATATTTTCAATTTTCATTTTGCTTTAATTTTTTTCAAAAGTTTGGGTATATAATTAGTTAATAGATATATATTACGTCAATTACTCTTATTATTAAATATATTTTTTAAAACGAAAAACTTTTGGTTTGATCATTAAATATATAGTTAGTCAAATTGAAATGTGAATTTAAATATTGTCATTATTTAAATAAACATTATGATGTTTTAACAAATAACATTGATCTCGTTTCGTGATTAAATTTTTTGACTTATCAGGCTTATTGACAATATATTCATCAGATACGTAATTTTTTATTTCTTTAAAGTGTACTATTTAAAGGTCTGTGAATAGTACAAAAATCATAATGTTGCAACAATTAAAGAACGGAGGAAGTATAATATTGATCGAGGGAATAAATACATAGTTTTTTAATTCTTTTAGTATGATCGTAAAAATAATGAACATATTGGGTATTTTCAAGTGTTTTAAGTGTATCACCAAGATTAATAGTTTTTAAAAAAGATGTTACTAGTAGGCCGATACAAATGAAAAATAGTTGCATTGTGAAAATATACTCCGTACTACCCCCGTCCCCCAAAAAATGACCTTTTGTAAAGTTTGAACCATGATTTTGATTAATATAATACTATGAAATTTATACTTTTATGAATGTACTTTTATTAAAAACATTTTCATATCATTTTTATACTCCCTCCGTATTCTTTTGTTTGATACATTTTCTATTCTTTTTATGTATTCAAAAATTTGTTACACCTTCCTTTTTTGGTAAGTTTTTTCTTTAAAAATACTCAACTACTCTTACTTTTTCTACTTTTTATCTTCTCTTTCATACTGTTCCACTATTTCTCCTACTTTTCTATACTATTCATTACTTCTACTATTTCATTCTTAAAAAACGTGTCAACACCTATTGTAGCAAACAAAAAAAAAATGGAGGGAGTATTATAAATAGTTCCCAATAATAATAAAAAATCTGATCAAGGATTAAACAATAATTAACATTTTGTTTAGGTTTACTTTGTTTTAATAGAGAAAGGATAAATCCATCTTGCTCTCCATAGAGGTACCCCTTTTTTCTTCAGCATCGCTCATGGGGATTACTTCCCCTTCTTTGGGAATGAGCTCTTGTATATGAAAAATGATTTGATTCTGTCAATAATTGTGCAATTTGCTCATTGAACACGGCATCTCTAGAATCGTATCTTGAGTCAAAATATCCATTCATGTTACCTCCTCATGATGTCTCACCTACAGAGCATTTTCCACAGGTACATGAGGAAGAACCAACAACATCATTCCTGCTTTATATGAAAGATACTCATATCAATAGATCTTCTATCATTCGAAATAACTAAATAAACTTTAATTAGGTATATAATATAAAAACAAGATTACAACATAAATACGGAGTATGACAATCTAAATTGAAAAATAATTCAAAAATTGCCATGTACTCTGTAAGTCTGTATGATCCAAAGCAGCCAGTCTCATACTCGCTTGTTACATTGTGCACTGTAACATATGGACCGTAACATATTTTAAATTTATCATTTGAAAATTGCTCATTTTTCCAATAAATGGATTTTCCAAGAAACCGACCCAGTCAGTTTGAGTCCAGTTACAATTATGGGTCAAGTAAAGGGTGGAATTAGAAGCATAACCAGTTGTATCCGGTCCAGTTTGAGACTAGTCCTTGGGTCACTTATAATTATGGTTTTTGGGTCAATTACCGGCCTAAGTTATAGCCACTTAAAAAACGAAACCGGAACATGGGCAGGGTTGGACCAGTTCCTAGGACCAATTTCAACCTGAACCGGGAAAACCAGTTCGAGTGTCCGGGATAAAATGTCTGATCAGTGTTTGATGTCCATGCACATTACTTCAAATGATTTGCATGTGAAGTTTCTTTATTCTCTTCAAGGAATTGCACATTCAACTTGCATGAATAGTAAATCCAGACATACCATATACAAACTGAAAAATCACTAGCCTTTATCAAACGAGACAAGTCCTGAACATTGAAACTTTTACATACAACTCAATGATTAATCAGTAAAGTCCAGCTTTCTCTGGCATCAAATTATGCATCTAAAATTTAGCTACAAGTAAAAGAACCTACTTTGATGGGAGCTTGCCTGCCATTTGAGTTTTTATAGCCCTGGTAAGTGACGGAGAGTATTGCTCAGAAATCAAAGATGGTGAACTTCAAAGGAGGTTGCTCACTCATCAGACATGCATCGCAAACAGCTGCATTTGAAGCCAAATCCTTCATATAGGAGCGTTTGCCTGGCGTTGCGGTTCATACTTGCATCTATGTAACAAATCCGCAACTCCTCTCCTGCAAATGCTGATGAGTTTGTATATTAAAACGCTAAATGCCCCAGTAGCATTTTATGCTGGAGAAATAGAAGTACAAGGAATAGACCTACTACGATGTAAACAGATGAATGAGCTAAATAGGTAGTCTTTTTTTTACATGATTACATCACATGATTCACAACTCAGCTTAAAAATATTTCACTGGAAATAGGTGTACAACAGTACAAAGGATGACCTGCTTCAATGTCACGAAGAGCCTTCAATTTTACATCTGCATTTTGTAGCCACACGATATGTGTATTAGGATCTACAACCAAGGAAGAAAAATAAAAAAGGTCAACTAATCAGGATAGTAATGTAATTAATGTGACATAATACATGCAGAATCACCGATAAAATGTCCATGAAATGATGCACATTACTTCCGAGTATTGCAGGTCATAAATATCATCCCTTAAATGCCTTGTGTTGTAAATCAGATCTTTTATGCAGTACGTGAAATAAATAATTTAGGACCACACCAAATCTAAACTAGTTAAGATAATTGAAAGACCACACCTATGAAGATTGAAAAAAGGGACGATTTTCCATTTCGAATAAGATACTCTGTATAACTCAAGAATATGAGAAGGGGGGTGAAACCAATTCAGATACTGATCTACAAGTCCTTGAATGATACTGCACTCCATATCTCTAGATTAATCAAGCTTTATTCATATATCAAATCCATAGCATGTATATGCAATTACAAAAAACTACACTGGGATCTACTTTAAGAAGTAATTCATCGACATCAAGATTTTCAACAAACAATACATAATCACTTTTTGTTGTAACTTGAAAACATGCTTCAAAATTTAAGCTACACTGCTAATATTGAATAGAACAGTTGCATACACACACCCCAATCATTCCCTTGTGAACTTCACTGCGAAAGAGAAATTATCAAAATGAAACAATTTTAAAAAGTTAATAATGAGTTGATAGGGATGGAGAACCTAACCACAGTCGTGATTGTACATGGATGGTAGCAAATAAACAGCATTTCCAACAGCAGCCTCTGCTTGTATTAGTGCTGCAGCTGATGAAAGAAGGTCTTCATATGATTCTCCAGCCAATTCAATGCGGAAGGCGTTGATGCGAATCCTTGCTATTACACTAATATACCATTGGCTGGTTAGAACTAACAAATTAAAGAAGCCAGTACTTTTTAAAACCAAATAGTTTAGTGTCCCCTACTTCTATGACTGATCAAATAAATTTAAAGTTGAAAAAGTCTAACAATGGAGCCAATGCAAGTTTTTCCTTTGAATGGCATGCAACACCATATACAGACAAAAAGGATACATGCTATCTGCTTATCCGATATTTGTGCATCTGCAAAAGTGCTTCTTAGCAAGTGTAATTCTTTCTCCATCTGTTGTAGACAAGTCATGAAGATACCATTACCATCATGGATAGCCATTTGTTAAATCAAAATTGTGTCACTTTACACAGTTCTGAGTGAAATGCAAAGTTGTAACTTGGATGAGGAGCATGTTGATGTGTGTGGTAACCATTTCTTAATCATTGATTGGAGAAATATCTTATAACCTTGGAATATCAAAACAGAGTAAAGGTGCTAAACGTCCTTTGAACTCAGTATGGAAGGTGACTGGGCTCATTTGTTCATTTTTCTATCTTTGCAATATAGGTTTCACACTTTCTACTCAAATTAAACCATCTTAGTCCTGACTTTCTGTAATCTGTAAAATTGCCCTAATCACCTTTTTGCAATTAGCAAGTCTTGTCACCCTAAATAGTTACCAAATGTGAAATCAAGACTTTCAGAGATTTAGTTAAAAAACGACTTTCAGAGATTCTTACCAATGGAATCATAGTTGAAGATAGAGTTGCTGGTTGAAGTAAGTCAAGGATGTCAGCAGAAGCAACATTTGCTATTATCATGCAAGCCAGCCGCTTAACCAAAAGTGGATACTTCAGACCATGCGTACTTCAAAGGAAAGTGAGTATTCCAAATTATATTCACCAATAAATGTCATACACATAATTCGCTTCTCAAAATGTATTCTATGGCATAGCAGTAACAGAGAATAGCATATTCATAAGTCAATACAACAATATAAGTAGGATATAAAATAAAGGCAAAATTACCAATAAGTTCAATTCCTAAGCACTCTATTCTACTAACTCAACATCAGTTTTTTGACAAGTAGATCTTAAGATAGACCCTTTTTGCAGTAACTAATGCTTTAAAAACGCAATGTTTTATTATAAAATCTACATTAAATTTAATATTTATCCTATTCACCTTCGGCAATGGCGTCATATCACCCATATGCCAACGCCATCATTAAATCCTTGTGCAACAAACCGAATCTTCCGATTTACATTTTCATTGATTGATGTGTAGGTCCAAATGAGATGTGTGGGGAAGACAATAGCCCCCACCCACACCACAGCTGAATGAGTTGGTCAATGTGTGGCTTCAGTGGAGTACTCTTGGAAAAGTATCAGCCCACAATCAGTTTGTCTGTCAAGGATTTCACAATGGTGTTGTGTTACGGACCTAGCCCATACTAGGCCCATACCAATGCCATAAGCCCAGGTGTAGAACTCACTCCCAAAAGACTGACCAATTAGAAGAAGGGGACACCAGCTAATAAGCCACCGATCAAGCTCATACTTGATTTAAGATTGATCGGTGTGGGATCGTTACATGTTGGCACATGGACCTTGGGTTCCTCCTTGAAGATACATTGTTTTCTTTTTCTTGCTTATATTTTAATTAGGAAAAAGTACGGAAAAGGTACATGTGGTTGAGCGCGTTCTCATATAGGGGTTTGTATTTCATTTTTCCACAAAGTCCCTGTATTTTGGTTTCGTAAAATTAGCGGATGAAGACAATGACCAGTAACTCCAATTTTAACTTCATTTTCAAAATGGAAGATGGTGTGGAGGTTGCCTTGACGAGACGCACCTCTGTGTATTTTTTTTTTAATTTCCGGACATTTTTTAAATTCAGAGTTACTGACTTACAGTCCATCGTCTTCCTCCAGTGATTTCTAATGGCATTATGCGCTGGACCCGTTCAGTGAAAACGAAATCAAAACACAGGGACTACTTTGTAAATAAATGATACACAGACCCCTATCTGAAAACGCGTCCAACCATAGATACCTTTTTCTGTATTTTTCCCTTTTAATTATCTTTTCAGTGTTTATAGCCTTGCTCCCTTGAGGCCAAAGGGAGAACCACATTAGAAGTGTTTGACCCAGCACGTTTACTTTCTAGCATAGCCTTGCTACATGGTTAAGGAACTGGTTTTTAATTGTTCATCCCTAACCAGAACGTGGAACTGATAGAACCTGGCCTCCATATGGAAAAGCAGGGTGGTAATTGAAAGGGGAAAAAGGTGCAGAAAGACAAATGAGAGTTGGTGAAAGCAAGAAGTTTAATGACTAATATTACCACAATTTATAATGTAGCAAGAGAAAATGCAAAGAGGGCTAGAGTAAGAGCAAAGCTGATGGGATGGACAGGTAGAATGCTTATTGATTCACAAGGGTAATAATCTAGAGAAAGCGAGTAAGGCACAAATTAACCTGAAATTTAATAACATTGTCGAGTTTACTCGGAACTCATGTAGTATTTGATTTGATCATATCTTGTTGTATTTTGTCCCGTTTTAAGCGTTTTATAGTTCATTGTAAAGATCTTATCGAGTTCTAAAACTCATATTCAAACTTCATTTACAAAATATTAAAGGATAGGTGCGTATTACTCGGAAATTAAAAACCATTTCTGAATTGACTCCAAACAAGTGTAGTATTTGACTTGATCATATAGTGCTGTATTTCGTTGCATTTCAAGCATTTTGTATCTCGTTGGAAAGATATTATCGAGAATTTGAATTATGATCAAAATTATTATGAGTGAATGAGAACTGTGAACAAGTATTGTTGTACTTCATATACTTGATAATAAAGTGCTATACAAGAAGCTATATTTATAGCTATATTTAGAGTACTAGGGTTTCCTATGCAAGATATACAAATGGGCTAAGCCCAATACTACTAGGGTTTTCACACTCCCCCTCAAGCTGGAGCATATAAATCATATGTACCAAGCTTGTTACAAATATATCCCACTCTAGGACCTCTAAGAGACTTAGTTAAAATATCTGCAAGTTGTTCAGTTGTGTTCACATATTGTGTGATGATATGTCCACTCGTGATCTTCTCTCGAATAAAATGACAATCAACTTCAATATGTTTCGTCCTCTCATGATATACCGGATTTGATGCAATGTGCATTGCAGCTTGATTATCACACATGAGTTGAACCGGCTTTGAGTTTCCATATTTTAACTCTTGGAGGAGATGCTTCAACCATAAGATTTCACATGTAGCAAGGGCCATTGCACGATATTCTGCTTCAGCACTAGATCTGGCAACCACATCTTGCTTCTTACTTTTCCATGAAATTAAGTTTCCACCAATCAAGATGCAATATCCCGAAGTGGAACGTCTATCCATCGGACATCCGGCCCAGTCGGCATCACAGTATCCCACAATATCGTGGTGGCCTCGATCTTCAAACAACAATCCTTGCCCTGGAGTTTTCTTGATGTATCTCAAAACTCGGATAGCTGCATCCCAATGTCCAGTACATGGCTTATCAAGAAACTGACTAAGAACACTTACCGCAAATGAAATATCCGGTCTCGTGATGGTAAGATAATTCAATTTGCCGATGAGTCTTCTATATTTTTCCTTGTTGGGCAAAAGATCTCCCTGTTCTGATAAGAGTTTAACGTTCGGATCCATTGGTGTATCCACTGGCCTGCAATCTAGCAACCCTGTTTCTTCAAGAATATCCAAGGCATACTTTCTTTGTGAGAGAGCAATTCCATTTTGAGATTGTGCGACCTCAATACCAAGGAAGTATCTCAACTTTCCTAAGTCTTTTGTTTGAAATTTGCTAAAGAGATGTTGTTTGAGGAGCACAATTCCTTGATCATCGCTACCTGTAATGACAATGTCATCAACATACACAACAAGATAAATACATTTGTTGCCAGCGGAATGTTTGTAGAATATAGAATGATCAACATCACTGCGAATCATGCCAAAGCTGCAGACAACAGCACTAAACCTCCCAAACCATGCACGTGGAGATTGCTTCAAGCCATATAATGAACGACGTAATCTACACATCATACCAGACTCCCCCTGAGCAACAAATCCAGGTGGTTGCTCCATATAAACTTCCTCATGTAGATCGCCGTGAAGGAATGCATTTTTAATATCCAATTGGAACAATGGCCAACGGCTCATTGCTGCCATGGATAAAACCAAACGAACTGATGCAATCTTCGCTACAGGAGAAAAAGTGTCAGTGTAATCCAAACCATATATCTGAGTATACCCTTTCGCCACAAGGCGTGCTTTAAAACGATCAATCTCCCCATCAGGCCCAACTTTAACTGTGTAAATCCACCGACATCCAACCAGTGATTTGCCCTCGGGAAGGGGGACTAAATCCCACGTCCCACTAGAATGAAGAGCATCCATCTCAGCCAACATGGCTTTACGCCACTCCGGGTGTGCTAGTGCTTCATGTGTGGTTTTAGGGATGCATATATGAGATAGATGGGAAATAAAAGCATAGTACGGGGTAGAGAGGCGGTGATAACTCAAAAAGTTATATATGTGATGTGGATTCAAAGTAGAACGTGTACCTTTTCGGAGAGCAATGGGCAAATCATCCTGAGTATTTTCGGGTGCTGTGGTATCTGATGGTGATGATGCAGGATCCGTCTCAGGGGATTCAACAGGCGTGGCCACAGAAGGCATAATGGGAGGAGGTCGAGGACGTCGATGGTATACTTGTAATGGACGGTCTGCCATATTAGAGCAATTTGGGTGCTCGTCAGATGGGGGGTTAATGGGAGTCTCCAGAGGGATGGGTCGGAGATATGAGGTGAAGTCCAAACATGATGGGGTATCAACCGAAGATAATGGATAATAAGAGGACGACTCAATGAAAGTGACATCGGCTGAAATAAAATGTTTCTTGAGTAATGGAGAATAACAACGATACCCCTTCTGTAGTCGCGAATATCCAAGAAAGATACATTTTATTGACCTAGCCGACATTTTAGCTAATCCAGGTGTCGTGTCATGGACAAAACACACACACCCAAACACATGAGGTGGTAATGGAAATAAATCACGACCAGGAAACAAAATAGAATAGGGAATTTCATTATTAAGAACTGAGGAAGGCATTCTATTAATTAAATGACACGCAGTGAGCACAGCATCTGCCCAATACTGAGGCGGTGTATGGGAGTGTAACAATAGGGTACGAGCAGTATCAACCAAGTGTCGATTCTTGCGCTCAGCAACCCCATTTTGTTGAGGCGTGTGAACACAAGACGATTGGTGAAGCATACCCCGTGATGTCATGAATTGATTAAAGGATGCCCCAAAAAATTCTTTAGCATTGTCACTGCGTAAAATTTTAATAGAATGACCAAACTGAGTTTGAACTTCAGCACAAAAAGTTTGAAAAATGTGAAACAATTCAAAACGCTCTTTCATTAAGAACATCCATGTGTAACGGGAAAAATCATCCACAAAAATAACAAAATAACGGAAACCTAAAGTAGAAGTGACTCGATACGGACCCCATACATCTGTATGAATTAAATCAAACGGTGATGTAGCCCGTTTATTGACTCGCCTTGGAAAGGATTTACGAGGTTGTTTTCCAAGGTGACATGACTCACAATCTAAAGATGAAAGATTTGAGAAACCTGGTACCATACGTTGAAACTTTGAGAGACTAGGATGACCCAGACGGTTATGTAAGGTAATAGCGGATTCAACTGAAACACAAGCGATTGGATCAAGCGGACGGAGATGATACAGACCTTGAGATTCATGTCCGACGCCTATTGTTTTCCCCGTACAACGGTCCTGCACAATTACAGAATCAGCAGAAAATGTTACAGAACAATTAAGAGCACGTGTAATTTTGCTGACAGAGACAAGGTTAAAAGGGGTGTTTGGGACATATAAGACTGAGTCTAATGGTAAGGATGAAAATGGAAGTGCTTGCCCAATACCCGAAGCCGAAGTTTGAAGGCCATTAGCAAGAGTAATCAAAGGAAGATGTCGGTCCTTGGTAATATGGGATAAAAGATGGGGATTACCAGAAATATGGTCTGAGGCACCTGAGTCAATGATCCATGAGCATGTTGTGTTTGAAACACAAGCAGTAGACATCCCGGGTGTGGATAAAAGCATATTAGCCAACTTAAATTGCTGATATGTTGCATATTCTTCTGGTGGTAGAACAATGGGAGATGGTGGTAGCTGAGCAACATGGGCTGAGGGAGGAGGTCTCCCATGTAATTTCCAACACCTGTCTTTAGTATGACCAATTTTTTGACAAAAATCACATTTGGGACGATTCCATCTTGAGTATCCGGTGTTGTTTCCTCTGTCAGAACTCATAAAAGACAATTTTTTTTTTAATACTGATTTTTTTTCTTCCTTTTTTTTTGAAGAAGAAGAGTGAAAAGCTAATTAATATTAGCCAAACAAACGAGAAATCAAAAATAAAACCTGCTGAAGGGATGAACGCTTCAAGGCAGCAGAGTGCAGCAAATAATAGAAAACCACTAACTTTCAGGCAATCAGGCAGCAACTGTGTGTTGACCAGCTGTGTGTTGACCAAGAGACTGCTGGGAAGATGAGCAGTAGAAGCAAATCAGGGAGTATGAAAACCAACCTCAGTCCGGGAGAGGCGAAATAAGGTAGCGGCGGAAGCAGTGCGTATGGACGAGCGGTGGTGTGTGGACAACACCGGATCTGGGCGACGGCGGCGCGTGTGGACAGCGGAAGAGGTGGCGGCGCGTGGTCAGTCGGCGGCGGTGCTAACCCATACCTTCCTGGTCGCCGGAATCTCAGGATTCTCGGGTGGTTGGTGGTGTACACAGCAGATGAATAGAAAGGCAGAGATCTACGAAAAACGTTCAGCTGCGGGTCCAACTGCAGCGGCGCGTGGCGGCGCGTGGATGAGGCGGCAGCGGTGATTTTCTCGGCGGTAAGTCGGGATGTTGAGGTGAAGAGGACGGTAGGTTTATATCACTACCGAAAGCACACCATCCACGACCACTATTCACGCCGGAATTAATGGCCGGAGAGATTCTGCCCGGAATTTCTGCCCGACTGACGGATAATAACAGTAACTAATTATATTTGCCGTATTGGCTCTGATACCATGTGAACAAGTATTGTTGTATTTCATATACTTGATAATAAAGTGCTATACAAGAAGCTATATTTATAGCTATATTTAGAGTACTAGGGTTTCCTATGCAAGATATACAAATGGGCTAAGCCCAATACTACTAGGGTTTTCACAAGAACATTATTGAAATATTGGATTTTGTTACATGGAGATAGAAAGTGGGAGAACTAAAGGTGTTGGTTATATATAGAGAGAACCAAAGTGGAAGAATTTCCGGGGTTGGTTGTGTAAAGAGAGAACGGAAGATGAACGTTAATCAAGATTACAAAGGATGTTAATGAGTTGGTTAAACAAAGAAAGAAAGAGGGACGATTACCAAAGTTGGTTAGATGGAAGAAACAAAGTGTAAAGTCGTAAAGAGATAAATAGTGAGACAAAGGAAGAGATAATCAAATAGAAAAGTGGTCAAAATTATCATGGTCTGGGGATTATTTTGTAATAGAACCGGGAAAAGTTCCAAGTTAGTCAACATTATCATGGGTGGTCGGCAATGTACAGATTAGATAAAATAATGTGCATTGAGAAAAGGTAGAAGACAAGGTTAATAAGTGCTTAAAAGTTGATCAAGAATATGGTAATCTAGAGAAAGAAAATGTGCGTTTATTATATTAGAGTACCAGTAGATGTAAAATTCTATATTTTTCATTGCTCCTATTTTGGAATAATGTCTATGTCTCTCTATGTTTATTACTTTAGTCTTTTCTTGGAATTCTTTTCATAAGTAATTTAAAAACACTGACCTACTGTCCAGCACAAATTACTTAAATATTATAAACCAGGTGTTTTTAGCTTCCATTAAAAAATGGGACATTTCCACAGTTCCACATTTTTTTGTTAAAATCATTTTTTACTTCAGTACTTCCTCATTTCTAAGACTATAGCATCTCTCAGTTCTTAATTATGGAACTTAAATGGAGAAAATAGGATGGCATAATACTATTAAGACATGTTTGGGTGAAGATTTTACGTCAATTATATGAACAACAGCTGTGTACATTTGAGTGGCAATAAGGTAGGTTCATTGTTTTAAAAAACTATTTTGGCATTACTGCTAAAGTACGAATAATTTTGTAAACAAAGAGACGCATTTTATTTAGTTGGTAGTTTTTCCCTTTAAAGTGTACTTGTTTACCTATTGGTGAAAACCTCTCCGATTAATTAATACAATAGAAGTGTAAATCAGAAAGTAGTTATGAAAGACAGCATCTTGGTGAATGGAATGGTTTTGGGAAATTACTCGAATGTTCCTAGAGATTTCCATACCTGCAATACTCATGAAAAGCGGACCAATCGGCTTTGTTTTCAACTGCAAAATAGATCTAAAAACAAAATATAAGATAAGTACTAAAGAAATAACTTCTACCGAAAAAAACTTTATAATTTGTGGGTTTCATCAAACTGATAGGATCAGGTCAGAAGAATATCTGACTGTGAACATATAGTACATAGAGTTTATATGTGTGTGTTAAATATGATATTTATTCGCAAAGTTAGAAGGTGTCATAAATACAGGGTTATTTATTATTGACTCCACCTAGTCTTACGATAAGAGAAGATAATAAAGAATGTGAGAAGGAAGGTGTTATAGTTATGTTAATGGTATCACCACTTCAGAGGTTGGAACTCCATAAACTACTCTATGTTATCTGTATGGTGAATCTCATAAGTCATAAGACAATGACTTGAACTCAACACCCAAGTTATACACTGCCCTGATGGTTAACATTGAACAGTGGTTATTCCAAGATTAAGGCATCATTTGTGGTTGTAATTGCGGTTGGAAAGTCTCATTTTTATGCTAAGGCAATCCTTATCAAAGTATAATTTTGTACAAAAGCTGATATTAAATTCTCAAGAACCACCATGATGCAAAAAGTCAGTGGAGGATGGCATTAGCAGTTCAAGAATAGCTTTCAGTTCAAAATATTTCCTTTGTAGACATTTTAACTTTTACACATACCCTTTCAACCTCAATACCATACATTATCTCTGAGAGCACTTCCTCACTACAACCATCAAAAGTGTTTTTCAACTGCAACCTCAATCCCAGAATATGCCTAAATGCCTAACTCTTAGTTACTACTCCGTACAAGACAAGATGGAAGCTAAATGAGTGCTCATTAGCATTTTTTGTTTTTTATTGGGGCAATGAGATTACTTCATGTCAAACTTCTCTCTTATCTTCATTCTTCTATACTAGAAGGTCCACTCAAAATATTAGTGTGTTCCGGACATGGAAAATGGTAGGAAAAGGGGGGAAATGCCAAAGTAACACTCCCTCCGTCCCATTTAGTTTGTCTTACTTTCTTTTTTGGTTCATCCCAAGATGAATGTCTTTATTCCTTTTTGGCAAAAAATGTATGGTTCATATCATTTCACCATATTCTACTCAAACCTCAACCACAACTTTTAGTTTTCAACCACTTTATTAATAATTGTGTCAAACTAAAACAAGACATCCAATATGAGATGGGGGTAGTATATCTTTTATTTCTAAACATAACTTGAAAAATACGAAGGCAAATCAAATTTAAATAACATTTTTTAAACCATTACATATAGTTATCTTTCTTAGTCTTTATAATATATACTCCGTAATATAAATATATAAATAAAATGGGTTTGGAAAAATATCTAAAATTGGTTTATTGAGATTGAATCACTTTTTATTTTTTCCCTATGTTTCTGTTCCTTTCAAACTCCCTCCTATCTATTTTCCTCCCAGAATTCTTTCTCTAACATTTCCGGATTCCAAATGACCCCACATATTTCTCAAATTGCCTCACTCAACCACAGATTCAAGATTCTATTGTTTTACTAATAGAATTATTAAATGTTCTTGAAGTACTCCGTATAATATTTTTCCTTTAAGTTGCACCATATTCTGTTGAAGTGATTTCAGGCATAACTAAGAATTGCCCTACTTTCTGAAACAAAAAACTAACCCCAAAAAGTTTGTTCCACTGTGAAGTTACCTGCCTCGTTGCTAAAAAATCCTATGTCTAGGAGTCAAACTACAATATCTAACAAGGCACGCACCAAAGCATCAACTTCCAAATTTTAACAACAAATGAAACCAACATTGGAAGTCCAAATTAACCTTGCAATATTTTTTTGCGAAAAGAAAACACAATAAATATCAAAATTACCTATTCATAATTTAATCATATAAAATAAAATGTAAAGTTAGTCTATAACTGCTCATACTCGGGACTGTTCTTCGCACTCCTGGCTGCAAAATGAGACACTTTGGGCTCGGCATTGCTGGTTTCGGAGCTTTCTGAGACAGGAATAACACACAGCGTGGAGTGAGGATAGAGAAGGATGAGATACAATGGGTTTAGCTGTATGGATCATCTCGCCGGCCCCGATCATACGCTTAGCAAACACCCCTCGACCAGAAAACTCGGTGAACCCTACTTGGACCGGCGGGGGTGAAGCGACGCGAGTGGGTTGCGATTCAGTACCGCAGCCTCTTGCGGTTGTTGAGAAGTGAAAGTACGAGCCGGAATTGGGTTGCCGGGGAGTGCTTTGGAGCTGCAAAGTCCACCAGCCGTTGCGCCTAAATAGCTTTAACATTTTCGCGCGGACAATTTCAGTTCTTACATACCAAATCAAAACAGTTAGAACTGAAATCACACTGAAACAATCCGGAGTGCTACTTTGGTGAATAGGTGTGCACACGTGCACACTTTTTATAAGATATTATAAAAATATCTTATTCTCTTTTTCCTATCACACTCAAAAAGGTGTGCTACTTTGTTTTCCTATCACACTGAAACAATCCGGAGTGCTACTTTAGTATTATTCTCATTCTCTTTTTAATTGCATGTTTACTTTTAATACTGTTCACATGATCTACTTTGACTACATTTTACACTATTATTTTATGGAATTTGATTTTTATAAAAATATTTTCCAATTCATCTCATTACAAATTTTCAAAATCTGATTTTTAATATTTTTTATTAATAGAGATTAAGACATATGTACGGCCAAATGTGTGCGTTGACAAATGTGCAAATGTTGACTGTTGCAACTAAAAAAGAATGAAGGAAATATTTCTTTATGCACCCTCACTTTTTGAGTCATATTGGATTTTACACTACATTTTTAAAAAAAAAATGACTTTGCACCCTATTATATACTACGTAACATTTGTGAAGGAAAATTTCTAAATGGAGTGCAAAGTCTAAGGATTTTGAAGTGAAATGGGGTGCAAAGTCAAAGTTTTTTTGAAATGGGGTGCAAAAAGTGGGGTGTTGAGTCAAATTCCCTCTTACGAAAATTAGTTTTACATGACAAATAATACCGTAGGGGATAGTTCTACCCACCCTATATTGGTCCCACTTGGCATTGTTTTTAGCTCTTTTTTGAATTGTTAACTTAGCTTTTTCTTACCTTTAAAAAAAATTTAGAACACGTTTACTAATAGAGATATTTTCTAATTTTTTATTTCTATTTTCAATTCTTCAATTTTCTGTTTTTATTTTCCTGTTTTCCTATCTCTATTTTTTTTTGTTTTCTTTTTTTGTTTTTCATTATCAAATCTGAAAACATGCTCATACAATTTTTTCGCCTGGTTCTGTGACCAACCAAAAGATCGAAAGTACGGTCTCAGTCTGGAACTGAACCTAGTACAACCCAAGTAGAGTACTAGATCCTACGTATAGGAAAGTCGAGACCAAAATTGGCCGGTCCCGGTTGATCTCAACAATTAGTTTGATGGAATCTATTCTCATTTCCCTATTGGTTAACAACGCAACGACTCTTTTGAAAGTCTATTCTTTGATTTGTTGTGGCCTATGGCCCTTGACAGGCTGTTTAAGGGGGGGACAATTGGGGCTGCTATACCTTACTCGGTGTATGGGGATCGAGGGTCTTGAGTCATATACTCCAACACCATGCATTATGTAGCAGATGTCTTGACAAAATAAATGAATTGTTAATTAAAATAAGGGAAACCTATCAATTTGGTGCTTTTACTATCACGAAAACGTCAATTGGGTCTTAATACTTAAAAAACCAATCAAAACATCAAACATTGAACAAATATTCAATTGGGTAACTATTGATTGGGGTTGTCACATATGTGTCACGTCAGCAGGTGACTTGACTTACACGTGTACGCCACGTTAGCAAAGTCACTATTGATTGGGGCTGTCACATGTGTGTCGCGCCAGTAGGTGACTTGTTGATGTGACATGTAACTTGCTAATAGACTCAATTAAACGTTATCTAAAAGTTCAGGGATTTGTTTGAGTTTTATAAAAGTGTGAAGACTTAATTGATGTTTTTGTGATAATACAATAATCAATTTGATAGTTTTCCCCTCAAATAAAGGAATTGTTTAATAATAGAGTGTTAGTTTTCGACGTGTTGAGTTCTTTGTTAAATATCATAATAATAAATTCTATATTTAAAAAACTACTAGTAATAAACTTCTTTAAAAAACAATTTCATCCGTGAATTAATTATTTTCCAAATTTCCCTTTCTTTCATTCCAAAAAAAAATTCATTTTTTTGGGACATATAATTTGTGGTTCACGGTTATTTTTACGCATTCTTTTCTTCTATGCATAAATCTCCACCACCCAATATAAATTATCTTAATATCATATCAAATGGACTTTGGAAGATAAACATGACAACACAAAATATCTAAATTAAAGGGGTTTAATGCACCAAACACCCTCGTGAAATATAAATTCGACACAATAGCTCCTTGTGATTTAAACCCCCCTATGTTATAGTTATTCATGCGCAAAACTCCTTATATGAACAAATTTAATTGTCAAAAAATGAAAAATGATTAGTTCTTTTGTATAATTTAGAAATTTTGATAAAGTTACGTGCATACTCAACCATATTATTAAGAAGAGTGATTTTAGAATGTAAAATTTGTTCTTGGAGGGTTTTCTGCGCATGAATAATTTTAAAATTGACTCATTTTTTAAATTACATGGACTAATACGCCGAATTTATACTTCATTAGGGGTTTAGTGCATTACGCCCAAAATTAATGTAAGAAAAGGGAGTTTTTTTCCATATTAATGCTAAAAAATAAACTATTTACAAAATTGATGTATGGTTTAAACTATTCACGAGAGTACTGCTCAAGTTAACTAGTTGGGAAAATAGCCAAATGAAACGGCGACTTTCCTCCCACATACAAAACGCAGCGTGCGTAGAGTTGTTATACCGTGGTATGCTCCCACCATGAGCACGATACTCCCATACGTAAATTAATGACATTTAACTTAAGTTTAATCAAGTAAAACGCGGGTGAACAGTACATATTTGTTTTTGTCTTAATATTTTTTCATGATGTAAATTGCATGTATTGAAATGTAACTCGCGTTGTTATAAAATGTAATCTCAGTTAACTACAAATGTAACTCGATGGCTGGAATGTAACTCATATTACACCCTTCAATGGTTCTCTCACCTTTCATACACGAAATGTAACCTGTATGTATGAAAATGTAACTTGAACCAAATGGAAATGTAAATTGCTTTAATACACATGTAACTTTAGCCCAAGTAAAAGTATTCCATCCCCAAGCTTCGAATGGTGGTAATCGTCTTCATCCTGTCAAACGAACCAAAACCAACCCACCCAGACCATCCACTCCACTCCCCGATTGAACGCAACTTCCAATAACCGTCCAGATCTCAAACAAACCGTTAAACGGTTAAAGCAAAACCAAGCGCGGTCAGTTCAGACAACCCAACAGGCAATCCAGTCATCTTCCCCGGTGAAGCACCGACGAGGCCCCAGCACCGGCGAGGCCCCAACATCAACCCTGAAATCAGAACGCAGCGCAGCAGGTCTTGCAGTTCAAGATGCACCAGAAGGTCGAAGATTGGAGCCAGACAATTCCAAATGCGTGTTGGAGCCAAGCAATTCCAGATGCGGACTTCCCTTAAACTAAATCAGCAGATCAAACTGTCTATTGAGCGGTGCAAGAAATTTGCTTTCTTTTATTTGACAAACGGTACCGTTTTGGGATCGGGTGCACCGTGCTCACGGTGCAACGATCCCACGGTATAATTTGCCGCGTGCGTAGGAGTAGAAACGGCCTATTGCTGAGGAGAGGGGGTAAGGTGGCCAAGTGGGATCTAAGGAGTGTTTGCGATTGCTTGTGCTTTTTAAAAGTGATTTTTTAAAGAGATTATTGAAAAAGTGATTTGTAGTAAAAGTTGGTAGTGTTTGGGAATAGAAATGATTTTAATTAAAATGTAAAAGTTGGAGTGTTTGATAAAAAAGTGATTGTGATGGAATATTTTATTAAAAGTACAAAAATATCCTTTTTAACATTTGGCACATAGGGTTAACTTTTGCAGCTAGCCCCCAAATCCGAATTCATCATCGTTTGAAGCTTCTGCTGCTACTCCAGCCTCCAGGTCCCCAAATTCATCATCCCAAATTCATCATCCTTCCCAAGTACCTTTTTAACATTTCGCACATAGCCTACAGTTCAAAAACACTCTCCCAGTCACAACCACGCTTCTCACAGCTCTCCTCCGTGAACAGCTCTGCTTCACTTCGTTCGAATGGCGCAGATGAAGATGGAACGAGTGGATGGCGCCGGCAAAATATCTCTGCTTCACTTCGTTTGAATGGCACATATGAAGATGGACGAGTGTTCTGTCCAGGGGCTATGGGGTAGATGGGCGTAAAATTGGAGTTTGCAGATGGGCGTAGGTGGGGTTATTTTGGGGGTTTTGCAGATTTATTTGCCATTATCACTAGCCATAAAGTTGGAATTAATTACAAGTTTACCTAGAAGCTATTAGAAGCTGGTGTACTCTAGCTTTTAGATTTTGGCTTTAAAGCACTTTTTTTAAGCCAAAGTTGGGATTAACAAACACTTATTTTGGCTTTTTTTAATCTAGAAGCTAGGAATCACTTTTTTTAAGCAAACAAATACACTCCTTAAGTTGCAAAATTCACTTTTTCTTTAAATTGTCCTATCTTTTATATTTTTGCTTGAAACGTTCTAAAAAATATCATAATTCGATCTTTAATATAACACCAATATTGAATATATAAAATTTAAAAAAATATGTAGACCATATAAGACGAAAAGGCTTGTCACAACATGATCTGTCAATAAACATAATTATAAACTAAAGATGTTTTTACTTGGACTATATTCAATCTCGGACCGGACCAAACTTAAACAGACTAAGCGAGACCAGACTAAATTTAAACAAACTAGATGCGACAGGCGTTTCATACTACTCCGTATAAAATACACATAGACCAGACCGGAGGAGTTCAGATCAAACAACTACAGACCGGACTAACAAATTTCAGTCTAAGTAAAAACATACTAATATGTATATGTAGTATTTATTTTACAAAATTCTAAAAAACCGATTAGTAATTTCGGAAGTTTTCATAAACAAATCCAAATTATATGTAAAATTTTATATCTCATTGTTATTTTTACTTCTTACATATTTTTTCATAGGAAGTAAAAAAACATGTTTGGTTAATATATTGACAGTGGTAGATTTTGGGCGTGTTTGGCATTCAGCGGTTAGCGGTTAACTGATAGCGGATTATGTCAGCGGGTTGTTAATAGCGAATTCAGTCAGCGGGTTTGACTAGTGGAATAAATTGGCGGGTTGTTATAAGGTGTTTGGTAATTTAGCTGTTTGGCCATAAAATTAGTAGAAAACACTATTTTCAAAACGCCAACCCAAAACTCTCCTATTAGCAGCGTTTTCATTTCAGCGTTTTCGTCCAAATACGCTAGTGTCGAACCGCTATTTACCAAATAACTTTTTCACTTAGTGAAAATGCTGAAAGTGGTCAAACCGTCATTTTTCGGCTGAAACGCCGTTTACCAAACACCCCATTTATAAAAAATGTCACCCCGTCAATCAAGTTCTACCATACAATCTGGCATCGTCTATACATTAGCTAAATATATTTTTTCTTTACTTCAGATATAGAATATACATAAAAGATTTTAAAAATAATTATGAGATCTTAATTTTAGCAATTGAATCTATTAATGGAAATTTTTGAACTTAAGTCAACCAATTAGATCTTCCTTTTTTTGTAAAAAAATGGTTTACAATAAGGTTTAGAGCCCGTTTGGTCAGCCTGTTTTTCGGCTTATCAGCCAACTTTTTCACCAAACACGTAACTTATAATTTCGCGCGCTGAATTGTGTAATAATAAGAAAAAGTAAGTTCGAAGTTACTTTTTTGGAGTATTGGCTGAAGATACTGTAGAGGTTTTCTATGCTCTTTTTTAATATAATGTTTCTTTATTTTATTAATAAAATATAATTTATATTTAATTGTTTTATAAATACGCAAAATCAGCCAATACAGCCACTTCAGTAAGAACTTCATAAATATCAGCAGAAACATCCGATTTAGCCGATTTCAGTGTTACCAAACGGACTCTTAGTGACGGAGCATGGATGCAACTAGTCTTTTCACTCTATACGGTCTTTAGATTTTTTTTAAAAAAATTATATATATGATATTGATGTCATATGATAGATCATGAAAAATTAAGAAATTTGATATATTTTTTAAAAAAGTTGGAACAAAACTGTAAAAGATATAACACTCAATATATATATGTAAAAGAGGAACTTTTTAAGAGCATACAAAGCACCACATAATCATGTCATGTCATCCATCATTTATTTTTTTAACATTCCGTATCTTTTATTTATTTTATTGGATTCTATTTTTGATTGCATATTGATATGGAAACAAAAGACTTTATGATAAAAATACACCTTATTTGGAAACTTTTTCAAAACCTATTACGTATTTAATAATTATGAAATTCATTAATTGGAATCACACTAATTGGAATCACATTAATTAAATAACCAACCTGTTACATGGTTAACGATTCATGTTGCTCTTTTAGGGGTGACCGTTTCTAAAGCTCATCATAGGGTTTACAGTCGTAGTTGCTGGAGTCTAGTTGGTGTTAGTTTTGTTTTTCTCTTGATTGATGTAATGATCCTGAAACTTTTGATATGAATAGAGGCTATTCTTTGTTCCAAAAAATAAAAAATAACCAACCATACGAAGTACTTTTTATAAAGTACTTTTATAAGCACGTATAAATTTTTTGATTATTGTTATACTCCTTATTTTGTATTACATTTTATTGAAGGAATAAAGTATCTTTGTTTTGCCCACTTACCAGACAAATCAGTTTCTTAAAAAAATAGATAAATCAGCCAAATTGCTATTTATTTTGCCTTCAAAATTATTTTTATATATATAAAAGTATTAATAGTGTCATATTTCCTAAAATGTTACTCCGTATATTTTATTCTTGTAATCTCAATGTTGAGATCATGATTAAAATTTCAAGCTATAGATTTGAAACTGTGTTAATACTTCGTATATTTCTACATCTTCGTATAATACTTTCTTAATTATTAACACAATGATGAAAATTATAACCACCGAATTTTTGAAATTAAAAGCGAAATTAGTACTATTAGACATTCATATATAGAATCATATAAAGAGAATAATTTTAATCAAGTTAGTTTATCTTTATTATATTATTTAATAAGGATGAAAGTTGATATCATACATGCATATGTGTGTTCACAAGTTAATACGTTTAGCCTAGCCAAAAGTAAATATGTTGGATTGTTTCATTTCTTTATTTTTACTACGGAGTACCAAGTTGAGTAAAATGTAAGAACCTAACTATTAAAATTTAAAAATATGTATTACATACCAAGTTGAATGAGAAATATTAGAAAAATGTTATTTTGAAATGCTCGATAAAGTAATCTAGACGTTCATAACAATTAAAATCATTTTCAATGTGACGAAATAATGAGTACAATGTAAAAAAACTCCATTTTTTACATTTTCAATGTGATGAAACAATGAGTCAAATGTAAGATCTTACTATTAAAAGTTAAAAGTAAATACTCCGCAGTTCATACCAAGTTCAATGAGGAATATGAAAAAAATTGAGGTGCATAATAAAATAATTTAGAAGACATGAGATTAATTAAGAAACTTCTCTGTGAATTCTTTATAATTGGGTTCACCATAATTGTGTTTAGTTGAGATGCTTATGTAAAAGAACATTTTTGAATATTTTCCATATAGTTGTCTCTTTATTTTACAAGTGAAATATTTTTAATTTTTTTCATGATTCGAGAGATTCTGCCTATTCTGCCCATTCAAGTGATTCAACCCGAATTTAATCAATTTGAGTAAAATAAGTTGATTTCGCTAATTTTTCTACGAGTATTATCAAACGAACTCTATATTTAGATTGAGTTAAAGAGAAAAAAAAAAGATTGAATTTATTTTTCTTTTGCATCACATTATATATGATTTCGAAAATATCAAATTTAAAATTAGCTCAATTATGTACTACTCGTGCATCACACGGGCTTGAAACCTAGTTTGAAGAAAACGAGGATTTTTTTAAGTTTAGGCCTTCCACCTTATTTTTCTCTCCTGCACAATGACGTTTCTCTCTTTCCAAACTGCTTTCTGCTTCTCGTGTTTCGAAGGAAAAGTCGCCATTCCATTTGGCATTTCTGCTAACCACAGTAAATAATTTTAACCCAACCTTATTTTTGTGATTAATTATTTTTTTAGCATTAATTGAGAAAAAAAAGAAAAAGGGAAAAAAACAATAAGATGTGCGCCGCCCAAGCGCCGGCAATGCCGCTTGAAAGAACAGTAGAAAAGTAAAGAAGCAGGGCAAACTTGTCCATGTATCACTGCGCAGAGAAACGATTTGGGTGCGCCCAGAAGGCTCTTTGCCAGGATCATATTTTCCGTCGAAGGCGCTGGGATCACTCAACACAGACCAGACCTGGGTCAACACTCGTTCCGTGAAAGATCTCTCATCTCAGAGCCTGAGCTATTCCCAACAGGGAAAGATCACATTCCCTTTTCTCTTTCTTCAATCTGTAAAATTTTAAATCCTAAAAGTTCAAAGAGGCGAAGAGATCGCGCGAGCTGCCTCAGAGCTGAAAGAGATCTATCTCCTTCCCAAACATGAATGACCTTCTATCGGTACTTCTTCCAAGCTTCTATGTCTTCTAAATCCCATCACTGTTTAGTTTTTTTTTGTATATCTGGGTGACGAGAAAATTGATTATTTAACAGTTGAATGGGAGAAAATTAGCAACCTTTTCAAGTTTTTAACTTCTCTGTCTTCTAAATCCCATTAGTGTTTAGTTTTTTATATCTAGGTGCTGAGAAAACTGATTTTTAACAGTTGAATGTGATAAATTAGCAATCTTTTCAAGTTTTTAAAAATCTAGTGGGTAATGTAACATGCCAGATCTTCACTTTAAAAGTTGACTGTTAATTCCTTTGTTGCAAGAGAGTGGTGTAGCTTATTGATTTATGGGCAGTTTTTTTCCTTGTTTGGTACTATTTGAGAAATTTTATAGTGTAGTCAGATCGTGTCCGCCTACCTGGAGTAAACCACGCCTTCAAGGTTTTGGTGTATACTGGAGCTGATTCTTATTGTACCAGTTTTTGTGCTTAAAATTAAAATTTTAATTTTGAGGTTGACTATTAAACGGTAACTTTAACCTTCAGGCACCCTCCTCCCTTTACTTATTGCTCTCATTATTTTTCCAGGACTCTTTTGAGATCCCCAGGGATCAGAGTACTAGAAATGGAGATATAGAAATGGGAAATCAGAGGCCAACTAATCCTGAGGGTCTGGATCAATTTTATAAGCAGGTGCCTACAAACTCATGTTGCTCTTCTTTTTGTGTATAAGATGACATATAAATGAAGTTCATAGCAGCCTGGTTATTACTCTAATTTTTCCATCATTTTCTTCTATCTTAGAAAACTAAGATTTGACAATTATCTTATGCTGATATTATCAAACTTATCTTCCCCTCCTCTCTCACCTGCAAGGTTAAACACATTGAGCAACAGTATGATAAGTTGAACAATCTCCTTAAAAAGCTTCAGGTACAATTCACTTTACACAATATAGGCACTATATTTTTATATAATAAATAATTATCCCCTTTTATGAAGTTTATGTTTCATTCTTCCTTCAGAAAAAGTTGCAGTTTATAGATTCTGTGAAGTCTTGAGCCCGGGTTCTTTACCTTTTCCCCCTCACTTGCCTCCTTGGAGTGGCAGAGTGTTACATAAGCATCTATAGTTATCTCTGAATTTAATTTCCATTTCTTAACAGGCTCTCTGAGAGTATGAAAATTGAAGCTTGCTTGCACAAACTGATCTTTGTGTCTTACATCTTTAGACTTCATCAAATTGACCTAAAGGTGTTACAGATAACATACATCTTAGCAAGATAGATGAAAACATTTCTGATTTGTAGGTTCAGTGTATGGTTTTCAGGCTTTGTGGTAAATGACATATCTGTCGATTTATAGCCTGTACAATTGATTTCTAAAAGACCGTTTTATCATTCTCTAACCACAACACATGCGTAATATTGTATATCTCGTAGTTTATTTTATTGATAAAGAAAATGAGTTTCAGTTGATTTAATATTTTCATTATTATAGTATTATTAGTCAATTTTAAAGACAAAAAGTAGTACCTCTAAAGAGTTTTTTTTACTGTAGTACCTCTAAAGAGTTGGATACTAGAAAATGATGTCGCCAACTCATGAATAGATAGTACATAGTACAACATAATGTCCAAGGGTCATTAGACATACTCTACAACATGTTAGCTTAACTTGTTGGTACATAAACTGTTATACAGTAATATTACATTACTTGATCTTTGCTATGCTTGTGTGTGTATACATTGTGTGTGTGTGTGTAACAATGCTTATTGTGAGAACGCGAGAACAATCACTTTTACCCCCAATGTGATGTACAGTGAAGCTCAATTGTTGCACTTATTCGCATTGGCATAATATTTACCAAAATGCCACCATGTTTATTTGATATTAGCTTGATTTGATCAATGCTAAAAAGTGCAACAAACATGCTCCATTGTGCATCACATTGGCTTCAGTGTGCAGAATTTGTGCCTCCTTTTTTATTTACTAATGGTAGTATATAATCTAAATGAATACTTTCTTGGGGTGTGATAGATCTTTTTAGTTTCAAGCTAAACTTCTCAAAGATAAGACCATTCATCTTCTTTTGATGCAAACAATCATTGTTGTTGTTGGTGAGGAATGGCGCATGCGCCATATGGCGAGAAAACCCTCCATCACCATGAAAAGTCCTCATGGCGACGACCATACACATGATGGCGGCATATTTGCGCCATCGCCATGTCAATTGCGCCATAATATTAAACAAATCTGAACCAGTTTACTTTGTGATTTTTGGGCTTTTGGCCTTGATAAATTCTTAAATAATCTGCTAGGCCATTGTATTGATAAAACCATAATATGAAACTAATATGTTAGTCCACTATATTAACAAAAACCCTAATCAAAAGTAAATAAAGATACAAGTAACACGTATTTAAAGCAACCCTAAGTGTTAATCGTGAACTAAAGCAACAATAGAAGAGCTCAAACTTTACATCACATGTCTATTAAAAGAGTTGGAAAATGATAGTGTAAATGATGGTGAAAATGATACTGAAAGTCTGAAACATCATGTACACTATCATTTTTCCAACTTTTTTAACGTGGCATCTATTTATTAAAACCAAAGTGGCGTACTAGCATCCATTTATTTCCAAAGACAGAAGCTTATTTGAACTTCATTATTTCATACGTAGTATCAAATAAGACACTCCTCCTTCACAACTTCAGATTCAGACCAAGATGAGAAGTGTGATAATTGATGATGATTATGGCATAGTCATCAAACAAAAACAAGTTAACATATTTTGAAAGATATGAAACTTTTTTTGAATATTATGTTTTTTTGGAACTATTTTAAACTATTTTAACTTCACATGTTTTGGTTAGAATGTTGGTATCTAACTGTGTTTTTTTCATGTTTTGCTGGTTGGGTTAAGAATTGTAGTGTATATAATTCATATTTTTAGTTATTTTATGTTATGTGGCGACGTCATATATGATCCATTGCCATGGGAAAATGCCTTGGCGCCATAGATGTTGCCATGTGCCACGACAACTAGGCAAACAATTTCTCCTTTTTTGGTGTACCTAGTAAATAAAAGATGAAGCACCATTATAACTTTATAAGCACCTTGTTCTTCTTGTGAAATAATCAAGCATATAGGAAAATATGTTTAATATAATCTATAAAATCACTTGAATTCGAAACCACTTGTATTCCTTCCACAACCTGGTGATCTCAATTATGCTCAAAACTCTTATAGCTAAACTTTTTTAGTTCTGAACATTCATCTCCATAGAAATCCTACCCTTCAGATTCTCATAATTGATTATGCTTAATGCCCAAATTAAAATTTTAGTCTCATGAAATTAGTTCTTTTACTAAATTCTTAAGAGATTGGAAGTATGGCGACAAACATTGGAGAACAAGGGTTTCAGACTAAGTCGGAGCAAGATAGAGTACATGGAGTGCAAGTTTGGTGGGGGTAGAAGCAGTGGTAATAGTGGAATTACTCTAGATGGTAAGGAGATACCGGTCAGTGATATGTTCCGTTACTTGGGCTCCATAATTCAGAAGGACGTTGAGCTAGATGAAGATGTATCCCATAGAATCAGAACAGGGTGGATGAAGTGGAAGAGTGCGTCATGATTTCTGTGTGATAGAGGTATGCCGATCAGACTGAAGGGTAAATTTTATAGGACAACAATTAGGCCTGCATTGCTGTATGACGTAGAGTGTTGGGCAGTGAAACAAGGTCACATCCAAAAGATAAGTGTGGCAGAGATGCGCGTGTTGCGTTGGATGTGTGGGCATACTAGGAAGGACCACGTGAGAAATGAGACAATCAGACAAAGGGTGGGAGTAGCACCTATTGAAGACAAGATGTGGGAGTCTCGCCTACGGTGGTTTGGTCATGTGCGTAGAAGACCGAATGATGCACCTGTCAGACGTGTTGAGATGTGTGGAGAAGAGGCAGGGAAGAGAGGGAGAGGAAGACTCAAACAGACGTGGGTTAGGGCAGTCCGAAGTGATATGCTTCTTCTTGGGTTGGATGAGGGTATGACTTTGGAGAGAGCAAAGTGGAGGGCGAGTATTCGTGTGGTGGAGTGATCTCGTATTATTATTATTTCCCCTCATCTTTTTTCTTCTTGTTTTTTATTCTTTTATCCTTATATATAAAAACATTATTTTTGTCCTTTTTATTTTATCATTCTTAAGTATATTCATCCCGTTTTATATTATATTTTTTATAATAGCTTATTTTTTATCTTTATTTTCTTTCTTTTCCGTTTTATTTTTTATCATGTATCGATTCATGTTAACCGACCCCAATATCTTTTGGGACTAAGGCTTGGATGTTGTTGTACTAAATTCTTAAGAGATGCAAAAAATTGTATTTCACTACTTATCTACTCTATCTAAGATATTGATAGATTATAATTTGATGGTGAGTTAAGTTTTGGATTTTTAAAATCTGATTTATAATACGGAAATGGTTGTATACATAGATTGTGTTTGATACTTTACTAGGAATTTGATTATTCAATCTGTTTTTTTTGAAAGGAGAATCCTTATATCAAAATAACAAAACCAGACTACTAAACATGATACTCGACACCTAACCCCACTGTTAGGAATTGGGCCTAATAGAATGTTAGGAATTGGGCCTAATAGACCAAGAATAATAATAAATGTATTAGATTAGTATAAATAGAATAAGCTGGGAGAAGTCAAGGAGGCTGTTTGACTGTTGTAGTCTGGACTGGGAAAGTTAGAGATTATCCATCTCTTTCTTTTGGGGGCTACGGCCTTTGTATAGTTCTTGTTCTCCCTAATAAAGTGCAGATTACTTTCTTGATAAAAAAAAGAGACGGATAATCTCTAACTTTCATTTCCATCATTTGAAATGGAGCCAAAGATTCACTATTTTTTGGCTTGGGAATATGATGGAATAATGCAAAATGGCTCACTAAACTGGCTGCGCTTCTTTGTTATGAAGCAACGGTCACTCCATGCGATTCTCGTCGCGATTTTCACCATGGGTCATACGGAAACAGCCTCTCCCTGCTTTAGTACAGGGGTAAGGCTGCGTACATCCGACCCCCCCTTACCCCACCGTAGGTGGGAGCCTCTGCGGCACTGGGGTAATGATGATGATGATGGATAATCTCTAACTTTCCCTGTCCAGACTACATCAGTCAAACAGCCTCCTTGACTTCTCCCAGCTTATTCTATTTATACTAATCTAATACACTTATTACGTAGTATTATTCTTGGTCTATTAGGCCCAATTCCTAACATTCTATTAGGCCCAATTCCTAACACCCACACTCCTTCTAAGCTCATGAAAACCAATAGATCCTCTCACTCCCTGACCAGACATAGAATAAATTGCCTAAAAATGAGCAAGACTAATGGCTGAACATGCGGGAGAGATTCGAAGTGGAAACCGGCCATATAAGCTTGACTTACTTCCTCCCTGTCGAACATACATAAACACACACCAAACAACCACCCTCACTCAACCAGTTTTTACTTGAAAAATAAAAACAGAGTACTGAACAAACATAATAAAATTAAGACATGAAAAAGTAATTAAAGTATGCTTCTGGAGCTCTGACGCCTTTCCTGCCTCTTGATAGCCCTGTGATAACATCAATGCTGCACCTGGCGAACCACCACAGTGCAGCTCGCCTCGCTGCCGCTTTTTGATCTATGCGACTCCACCTCCACAGCTACCCAATAGCAAAGAATGAAGAATAAACCTGGAACATAGCATCTGATGAATATCTTTTGCCCTTTTGCCACCATAGCGCCGATGGGATCACATCTACTCCAACCGTGAAACACCGCCTTCCTAACCATGGAGTCCAAGTGAACATCCCAACCCTCTTGAGCTATAACCCCAGTCCCTACATGTATGGGCATCCCACCCCATCCATGCGCCCCCCAGCCCCGCCATAGTCCATTAAAGTTCATCGGAGTTTAGCAAATGCGAGTTAGAACCCTCTGTGTCCCATGAGCTGAAGAAGAAAAGCTCAACACAAACACCAAGATCAGGAAGCAATCGTAGAGGATTAGCCACCAAATGAAAGAAAACCAACTCGCCGAACCTGAAGATCAGAACATTCCAAACCCTAACGTGAGAGAACCCTTGAAATCAGCGCCACCGCACTGCACTGCACCGCCGTTCAACCAGACCAAACCCTAGGCTTAGATGCTAGGCCCTTCCACTTGTGTTTGATTCAATCTGGTTTATTATGTCTTATAATGAGCATGAAGAGTGTTAGTTGTGTTGGGCAATATTTTTAGGAAATATTTGAACCAGTTTGACAAATAAATATATTTACAATGTTTAAGGGCCAATACAGAAATACTCTAAGATCAGGGGTTTTAAATGTAGCCTGTAGGCACATAAAGAAATGGGAAAATAAATATACAATACCTCTTTATGACATGGTTCAAATATTTTAATGAATATGTACAAGAATTCCATCATTACACACAATAGCATGCACACCTGACATGACTTGATCATTAAAAAGGTATCCTCAAAAGTCAAAATCATTCTGAAATGCTATTGTTACTTGTCAGGTTGCTCATGAGGATTCAAAGGCAATAACAAAAGCATCCGATATGAAAGGTAGACACACTTAGAGTCCGTTTGGTGATCCTATTTTTCTGCTTATCAGTCTTATCGGCCAACTTTTTAACCAAACACATAACTTTTGATTTTGCGCGCTGAATAGTGTAATAATCAAAATAAGTAACGTTGAAGTTGCTTTTGTGGCTGAATTGCCTGAAGTTATTGTACATGACCATTTTAGCTATTTTTCATATAATTTTTTCTCTCTGTTTTATTAATAATATATATATATATATATATTATATATATATAATATATATATATATATATATATATATTTCCATCATTTGCAATGGAGTCAAAGATTCATTATTTTTTGGCTTGAGAATATGATGGAATAAAGCAAAATGGCTCACTAAACTGTTTGCGCTTCTTTGTTATGAAGCAGCAGTCAGTCCATGCAATTTTCACTATGGGTCATCCGGAAACAGCCTCTCTGTGCTTTAGTACAGGGGTAAGACTGCGTACATCCGACCCCCCCTTACCTCACCGTAGGTGGGAGCCTTTGCGGCACTGGGGTAAATGAAAATGAAAATGATATATATACACACACACACACACACACATATATATATATATATATATATATATATATACAGAAAAGATCAGTTCCCTCTGGAGGGACGGGAGGGACCGTCCGAACTTTACTGTTTGGGGCGGTTCCCGGTGGAATTTTTTGATGAAATTTTTTGAGCATGTTCCTCATCAAGTCTAGTTTGTTCATACCAAATTTCAGCTCAAAATTCGACCGGGAAGGCAGTCAAATAAATTCTTGAAGCTTACTGCACATTCTGCGCATATATAAAGTGCAGTAAGTTTCAAGAATTTATTTGACTGCCTTACCGGTCGAATTTTGAGCTGAAATTTGGTATGGACAAACTAGACTTGATGAGGAACATGCTCAAAAAATTTCATCAAAAAATTCCACCGGGAACCGCCCCAAACAGTAAAGTTCGGACGGTCCCTCCCGTCCCTTCGGAGGGACCTGAGCAGTACTCTCTCTCTCTCTCTATATATATATATATATAGGGAAAAGATCAGGTGAGAAGTGCCCCTTAAAATGAGAAGTGAGAAGTAATCTCAGCCCTTGGATTTGCATCTGATCTTACAACGCAGTAAACTTATAGACTAAATATAGGAACTTATAACCAATAAATCATAACTTATAAAGCTCTCCATAATGATTACGAAAATGCCACCGCATAAAAAAAATTCCAGGTTTATGTAATTATTTTTTGCGGTGGCATTTTCGTAATTGTTTTCGAGGGGTCTATAAATTATGATTTATTGGTTAAAAGTTCCTTTATTTAGTCTATAAGTTTAACTTCGCAGTTCTCAGCCTAAGAGGACTTCTCACCTGATCCGCTCCCTATATATATAATTCATAATTCAGCATATTCAGCCAAAACTTCATTAATTTTAGTAGAATCAGCCGATTCAATCAATTTCAGTGTCACCAAACAACCTCTTAGTTTTTACATTGCATTTAATAATTAATGATCCGAGATGTGCTGTAACAATCGAATTTACTGTGATATTCTTTAGTATATTAATGAAGAATATTTATTAAAGTATACTGTGTCAAAAAAAATAAAAACATGTTGAGACCTTCATTTGATTAGATAGTACACTGTTCTGGTTTTTGTTCGCATTCTTGTCCCGATAGCCTAAGAAAACTTGTGTATAAATTTATGCTATTTAGTCTCCCTTTGGAAAGGTATTATCAGTAAGCACAAATCTCTTTCCATAGAATTGTTGAATACAACACAACACCCAAGCCTTAGTCTCAAAAGAGTTTTGGGTCTTGGCTTCATAAAATTGTTGAATAACAAAATTATTTTATTGATGACATTCTAACTTACTGCATATTTTTCAAACACTAATACAATGGTTATACAAATAAACTATGGGCCTAAACTTAATATAAATAGGAAGCCAAAACCCTAAACCTAATGAGAATACAAAACCACAACACTATAAAAACTAGGATCACTATATTTCTATACTTCAAATAGTAATAAGTAAGAGTATTAGTTAAATTTATTTCTGTGCCACATATGTCTTATACTGTAATCTGAAATGTGTTTGCTATCATGTTACACATTATTATTCATTCATGAACCATACTAATATAATTTGCAGCAATAAAGGAGCAGATGAAGAAACATATAGATGAAATTGGAAAAATTGCTATGCTTATAAAATCAAAATTTGAGGAGCTTGATAAAGATGTAAGGCTGTAAGCAAGCAGGTGCTGATATCTGCCTTATTTTGGTCCTTTGACTTCCCATGTTGTGATTGTTTATATACTTTCCTTCAGAATACAGCCAGCAGAAATAAACCCAATTGCGGCAAAGGATCAGCTATAGAGAGATTACGAACTGCGAATACAGCGTAATTTACCCTGTTTACATCTGTCTTCTATTTCCTGCTCTGTTTCTTATTTAGTTTTTCATAACATGTGTGGTGATTGTTTGTGAAGCTCTTCATAAGCAAACCTATTTTGTTTGGGTTGTAAGTAGTCAAATACCTTCTGTTTTGGGGATGTGTTGCAGAGAAGCCCGTGTGATATATAAGCTCAATACGAACTAGAATACAAAAGTGCAAAGTTACAAACCGTTGATTTGGTGAATACCCCTGCTCCAACAGTACAGGCACTGCCGCAAATGTCCGTCCATATATATTCTCCATTCTGAAGCAGTACATTCAGCTGACACTGCAGAACAATATAAGCGCAGTATTGATAAAACTCTTCCCCACTTAATCAAGAAAGCACTAACGAACACACAAATATAATTCAAATAATAATAGAAAAGCTAAACAAAAAATATTTATTATGGAGAAAATCTCAGTTTTTTGACAATGAAAAGCTAATCTTCTCATAATAAAAACAACCAAGATATATATAAGCTACTGATCCTGCAATAACTAGGAAAGCGTAATATTAGATTAACTAGGAAAACTAAGAAAATAATGCTAACAACAGTGGTAATAACAACAGTAGTAGTAATAACAATAACAGCAACAATAATAACCCGTATGCAATATACATAACTAGTTCTCTGTTCTTGTCGTGGTCGAATGCTGTTTTCTAGTGGGCGGCGATACAGATCTTGCAGCAGCAAAATCAGGGAAGAATCAGGGTTTATTTACATGGTTTATTAGACTATAAATAAATTCTCTGCTTGAGAAGGCTAGAGAAGGGGTGCTTCACCAGCTTCACATAATAGTACAACATAGATGGTTGTGGCAAGAAGTCCCTTTCTTGCTGGAGAATTTCTTCGATGGTCTTGGCGAGTTCTCTCTTAAGGCTCATGTTCTATCTTTGCCTCTCTTTTATTAATTTAATATAATATATTCTTATTATTTATTTGTGCCTCTTAAGTCTTAACTCTATCACAATACCTGACTACTGGAAATGAATAATCCTTCTCTCCAATACTTGCAGACTTGTGGTCTAACTACTCTAACCAGAATCATACTGATATGTTTTATTGCAGTGCCTTGAAAAAGAAGTTCAAAGACAAGATAAATGATTTTCAGGTGCTTCAGCTTCTTAGTGAATCAAAATATGTTTTTCTGCTCCCTGTCATTTTCTTAGTTGTGCCTGAATAAAATTGACAGAGTTTAAAAGATGCCATCCATAATGAGAATCGTGAGGTTGTTGGAAGGCGTGTATTCACAGGTTTAAGAATTCATTAATCTCACCTTCTCTCAGTTACTGGGACTAACCATTAGACAATACTAATGGCCTCTTTGTGTCTGCAATTTGACAGTTACTGGGACTAGAGCTGATGAAGAGGTGAAAGTAGTTCCATTGATTTTTTATAAAGCTCTCTTTGTCCACCTGATATGACTTCATGTACACCCTCTCTTCTTTTAGACAATCGAGAAGCTGATAGAGACTGGTGACAGTGAACAAATATTCCAGAAAGCAATTGCAGAGCAGGGACGCGGTCAGGTATTCTTGCCCAACAACCATATTTCAAACACTGAGTTCCTTTTCCCTCCCAGGCTTCCATTCATTTTGAGTTTAACTTGATTGGAGTTGAATTTATAATCTCGCATGTATCCTCTTGTTGGTGTGTTTTAGGTTATGAACACCATTGAAGAGATTCAGGAACGCCATGATGCAGTAAGAGAATTAGAAGGGAAACTTTTAGGCTTGCAACAGGTACTTTTTTTAACCCCGCACATGCACTCGGGCATGGTGTGCTAGTTTTTTATTTGACACCAAGGAAGCATGGGAACTTCCTACAGCTCACAATTCGCTGTTTTAGAAACTTGGGAATTGCGTTGGAGACTCAGAATTTCAAATTCCTATTCCCGTTTCTTGATTGATATTATTGTCTGATTGTGGAACTTCTTAATGGATTTCTATGAGATTTCTTCATAGCAGCATGGTCTTTATGAAATTAGTTGGATGGTTTAAAATACGTAGTTGGACAATTGTGAACTTGAAGAAAATTGCTATGCTTTTAATAAGTTTTCTTCCTCAAATGATCACATTCTGCTATACAGATATTCATGGACATGGCAGTGCTGGTTGATGCCCAAGGAGACATGCTTGATAATATAGAATCTCAGGTAGTAGCAACTCATTAATTTTCTTCCTAGAGTGATAAGTGTCGGTGTGTGACGTCCCTGTCATGATCCTCATTACCCCGTGGTGCCCCAATTTTAGGTTTCTACTGCAGTTGATCATGTGCAGTCGGGGAATGTTGCACTTCAGAAGGCTAAGAAATTGCAAAGAAATTCCAGAAAATGGATGTGCATAGCTATCATTGTCCTCCTCATTATTGTTGCTATCATTGTGGTTGGCGTCCTCAAGCCGTGGAATAGCAACAAGGGCGCTTAATAGCTTTCACAGACAGGCGTCGTGTATAAATTTCACAGAAATTTGTAATTTATTACCACATTTCTCAAAATTCTTTTCATTGATTTTTCTTATGCTTGGGCCCTTCCCTTCCCTTTGAAGGTTTGACTTTAACACTGTTTGTGATACGATCTGGCGACTGATGCCTATCAGTTTGCCTGAGTAATCTAATGCTGAACATTATATATATAATTTTCATATGCTACCTCTTCCAAATTACTTGTCTCATACACACTATTTTTAAATTTCTATCGGTTTTCATCGCATTGTAAATTTGGTTTTATGATTTAAAAACGCTCTGATTTTTAAATTTGCAATTTTATGTACTACTCGTAATACAAATGCAGTGTTTTTCCTAAAATACTAAAATAAAATTTATGGACAAGGAACTCATTGAAGTTAGTAAGTTACTATGTGTTATGTGTATACACTCACACCTATTGATGTGTAAAATTGAACATAGTAATATCTATTTAAAGTTGTTACAAATTACAATGATAATTACCTACAATTCTACAAACGTCACATTTAATTATATACTACGGAGTACCACGTAATTTTTACTTCTTTCGTCCCTTTATAATTGTCCCATTTTTCCATTTTTGGATGTTCTTATATTATTATCACATATCATATTTGGTAACATCTGTGTGGTTCTCATTCATTTTTACTTTATTCTAATTTTATCAACTCATTATCAATCACATAATTCTACTTTTCTTAAGAATTACACCACTCTTCTGTAATTCTGTTGGGAGTATTTCTTAAATATAATGTGAAATATGAACTTTGTCCTAAATGTAGTCATGGACCTGGGCCGGTTCCGGTTCCGGTTCCGGGCCAGGCTCGGTCAGGACCGGCCCGGGTAGCCACCGGGTCCGGTCCGGGACCGGCCCGGGTAGCCACCGGGTCCGGTCCGGGTAGCCATCGGGTCCGGTCCGGGCTGGGCCTCCGTTTTTCTTTTTGCTTTCCTAACCCCCCAAACCCCTCCTAACCATCAAGCCCAACCCGGGTGGAACCCCAAAAATGGGAAAAAAAAATCAATTCGGCCCGGACCCAGGCCCGACCCGGCCGGGCCGGTTCGCCAAATATAAGACCCGAGCCCGGACCCGCCCCCCACCGGGCCTAGGCCCCACTCGGACCCGAGAACCGGGCCGGTCCCGGTCCAGCACAGTAGCGGGCCGGACCGGTCCACGGGCCGAACGGCCTGAACCGGGTCCAAGACTACCTAAATGGACCCTAATGATTAGTGTGTCAACGAATTTAGAAAAGTTTGTATACCGTGCAACCGTCCCAAAACGATGTAATTTTGGACAATTTAAAAAAAACGTGTGAACAGTACACACGTGATCACTGACTTTTTTTAAGTAACATGGATGGTGTAGCTCGCGTGTAAAGATATGTAACTCATGTTATTGATCCATGTAACTCAAGCCCATTCAAAATGTAACTTGTCAATTTGTCAAATATTGATTTCAATGTAAACAATGAAAAAAGAGAGTAAATGCACAATTGCTTTAGGTACAACATGAATATGTTTTGTTTTTAATATCATGGCCATAATTTTTTTTTGAAAAGATCATTTTTTTGTTTTAATAGCAGAGATTGATTTTTGAATGTAACTCGTGTTATTACAAATGTAACTCGCGTTGATGACAAATGTAACTTGGATGTATACAGAATGTAACTTGTTGGAAAATTGAACAATGATTTTTTTTGTGTTTGAGATATTATAAACATTGATTTCAATGCAAATAATGAAAAATTGATCCTAATAGCTTAATTACTTTTTATAAATAGTGAATATGTTTTATTTTTAATATTAGGGCAATAAAAATGATATAGTTGGAGTTTATTCTGTGGTGTAACTCGCAAACAATAAGATGTAACTCGCATACATTAAGATGTAACTTGCTCAAAAGAAGATGTAATTTCATGATATATTATCAAATGTAACTTCAGGAATCAAAATACACAAACTTAATGTCTTAAAAACCTCTAAAAAATTATAAATTCAGTAGTAATTTCAATTGAAGAAAAAAAAGTAAAAAAGTAGTGTATGATTATTTTTTTTTGGCAAAAATAATGTATGATTATTAATGCATTGTACTTATTTTATGTGGATTAAGAAAAATTTGTAAAGAAAAAAGTTTTTTCGATTACAATTTAATTAGTTAAAGATGAATATAAGAAAAATCAAAATTAGTTTTTAATATTTAGATGGAGAGAAGAAAATAATTGAAGAAAACAAAAAAAGAAAAATAAAGAGATAATGCTCCAAAAAAGATATGCACACTTGAGTCTTAGGAAAAGAAAAGAAAAAAAACGGAGAAAAACGATGTCCGCGATAAATTGCGATTTAGAATGGGGGATTTGAACAACAACCTTGTTATAGATACCCCATTTTGTACCCCAACCTATTTGTGTGACTAACACGTATTTTCATCTGAAACTTTTGTGAATTTTTCCACTTTATGACAAACATTTATTTACGCATTGATTTGTACCCTTATATGTGAAATTCAACTCAGGGTAAGATCAATTTTCAGTTCTTTGAAAAGAAATTATGAAACATTTGAAAACCTGATATAAAACACTTTTGTGAGCTTTTGTGTGGCTCACAAAAGCTCACAAATATATGGTTTGCATGTACTCCGTATTTTATACTGTAATAATAATTGTGGTGTGATCCGGGTCACCATCAACATCCTTAGTACGGAGTAACTTCATTAAACAAAACCGGCGAATTTTCATTCGAACGGACCAGCTGAGCAAAATGGAAACTGTGGGAGCGCCTGACCCTTCCGCCGGCAACGATGACGTTCCGCAGCTGAGCTCTCATGCTCTCGAAGCTCTCAAGGAGTTCTTTGCTGAGCAGAACCGAATATCCGCAGCAGAGGCTTCTTCAGTTGAGCAGCCGGAGCAGGAAGTGGCCTTGGTGTCGGAGGATTGGCGGCTCAGCCAGTTCTGGTACGACTCGGGAACCGCGGGGACAGTGGCAAAAGAAATTTTCACGCTTTGCGAGACACTCGAGTCCCCATCCGTTGCTTGCATTTCGTGCCCAACCCTATTCGCCTACCTTAAGGTGCAATTTCATTTGCCAATACATTGGTGCTTCTTTATGGATATGTTGTGTTTGGGTTGGAGGTTTGAGGAGGGAGATGAGAGAAAAAGCTCACCCTCCTCAATAGTTTAAGAATTGTTTTTGAAGAAGAAACAAAGTTTTTATCTCCTCTTCCCTTCCCTTAATTTTCCAAGATGAGTTTTTTATAGGGAAAATTACATTAACATCCTCTTCCCTCCCCTCCAACAAAACCAACAATGTAACGTGATGCCTAATGCCTACTGTACCTGTTTTACATGATACCATTTTTTGTCTTGTTTTGTAAAACCAGTGGTTCAGGTGCTGCTACACACAGTGTTAGATTCACAATGTTCAGAAAATAAGAATTACAATTTCACGTGAGAAATTAAAAGCCACAACAAACTCTAAATAAAACAAGTCTAAGTTGTTCAATCACTTCAATGCTGCATAAAAAACATGGAACCCTAACACCATATTTTTAGATGAAGGTTCCATGAGAGAGGGATTTAGGGAAAGTAAGAAAACTTAGAAAAGAATGATAGGAGTCTACCTTGGAGCAATTCAGATTAGAATCCTATATATAGTGGGGTCGTGGTAGGGTTCAATGGTATTAGAAAATATATGAGAAGAGAGATAAACTGATCTTATTGATTGTGAAAGAAGATACAAAGTATTTACAGACTGGCCAGGTCATACAAAACTCAGCTCAAACTAACTCAACAAAGTCAACAATAATACTAAATAGACTAACAAACATAACCGACTATCTATTAGTCTGTCTAACATTCCCCCCTCAAAGTTAGGGTGATTGAGGACTGAAATCAATCACACTAAGTTTGTTCTTCAGTTCCAGAAATCTAGAGGTAGACAGTGACTTGGTCAGTATATCAGCCAGTTGATGTAGTGCAGGAATGTGAAATACTTCAAGCTGTTTTAGATGCACCTTTTCTCTTACAAAGAAAAGGTCAATCTCCATATGTTTAATTCTAGAGTGTAGAACAGGATTATGAGCAAGCTGAACAGTGCTGAGATTGTCACAATAAACTCTGGGAATAGTAAATTGGACTTGAAGTTCTTTTAGCAGAAACTGTATCCATAGAAGCTCTGCTGCAGTGTCTGCTAGACTTCTATATTCTGCTTCTGCAGAGGATCTTGCAACACGAATTTGTTTTCTGGACCACCAGGAAATAATGTTGGATCCAAGAAAGATGCAAGAGCCTGAGGTTGACTTTCTGTCTGTGGGATCTGATGCCCAATCAGCATCACAGAATGCTGAAAGGGGAAGAGGCATGGATGACAAGGGTAGAGGTTTGATGATAAGCCCATGAGTGATAGTGCCAGAAAGATAGCGTAGGATATGCTTTACTGCCTGCCAGTGTTCCTCCTGTGGTGTGGCCATAAATTGGCAAACTTTATTAGCAGCAAAACATATTTCAGGTCTAGTGAGAGTGGCATATTGCAGAACTCCAACTATAGACCTGTAGGAAGAAGGATTAGGTAGATAGTTGCTGCCTTCATTGGTGAGTTTACAAGTGCTGACCATGGGTGTTTTTGTTCCTTTGGATTCAAGCATACCAGTCTGATTTAAAATTCTGGGATGCAGCCTTTGCTACTTCTGTCCATCTGAGCAACAGAACTCCTTCCAAATCAGTTTCCAACTCAATTCCATATTTCAAATTATATGGCTCTCTCCCAGATTATTCCTTCTTAAAAGTGTTTGGTTGCTCTTGTTACCCCTTTATATGCCCTTATAATAAACATAAACTTAATTTTCATTCTGAGGAATGTGTCTTTCTAGGCTATTCCTCAAACCATAAAGGGTACAAGTGCCTGTCACCTTCAGGCAAGATCATAGTTACATAGATCGCTAGAAGAGCCACGATCTGCGAACTGATCGCTCCGTACCCAATCGCGGTACGAAAGCGATCCAGTCGCTAAAGGGAACGCGATGTGGTACGCTTGGCTACTGGATCCTAATTGCAGTTCGAATCAATAACAATCGCTGTACAAATCGATCGCAATCGTTTTTCTGTTCGATCGGAAATGGTTTGCAAGTCGTTCCCCAAAGCGATTTCCCAGCGACACCCTTTTGGCACTCTGACTTGTCGTTCCTATCAAACGCACAATTTCCAACTCTAAGAGCGCTTCGTTTCCAGAAGCTTGTACAGGTGTACGTTTTTGTTCCAGCCTCTTAGTTTTCTGATCCAAAAGGCTTGTACAACTCTAAGATTTTCTAACTCTTATAAATTACTCCGTAAGTTAAAATGTTCTATTTTATACACCGAAGTCCAAACACTCTACTTTTGAGTCAATAGTTTGTATAATATTAATGTTTTTTTATTTTGTTTATTGTTACGAAAGTATATTACGAAATATGTTTTTATTTAATGCTATGAAATCTGTAACTATGTTTTATTCTTGTACCAAAACATAAGGTACTGCGTACTGAAGGTAAGGAACACCGTACTGAACGCGTACCGAAATGAACCTACCCCCCTCCGAACCGGATACGCTAGACCTAGCGAACCGCGTTCCCGTTCCTCGTTCCCGTACCGAAGCGTTCCGTGAACTACGTGACTATGGGCAAGATATCTCTCTCTAAAGATGTCATATTTCATGAATCTAAATTTCCCTACAATACACTCTTCTCTTCCTCTTTCTCTACAGAGCAACCAACTGCATCCATCCCTATTTCTGTACCTTTAACCATTCTTCATGATTCTACCTCATCATCTTTCATAAATCCACCTTCCACCTCTTCAGATCAATCTTCCTCTTCATCTACTTCATCCAAAACTGACTCATCCCATTCTGTTTCACACCAGCCAGTCTCTTCTCACTCTAAGAATCATGAATTCTCATCACAGTCTTCTTCTCCTCCTGGTGCAACCTCAGTTCACAATGAATCTCACTCATCCTCTCCATCTAATGCTCCATTAGTCCCTGAAACTAACACTCATCCCATGAGAACTAGAGCCTAGTCTGGAATAGTGAAACCTAGGCTTAATCCCACCTTACTGTTAGCACATGTTGAGCCAAAATCAGTTAAGCAAGCTCTCTCTTCACCTGAATGGTTTGAGGCCATGAAAACTGAATATGATGCTCTGATACCATATTAGAAAATATATGAGAAGAGAGATAAACTGATCTTATTGATTGTGAAAGAAGATACAAAGTATTTATAGACTGGCCAGGTCATACAAAACTCAGCTCAAACTAACTCAACAAAGTCAACAATAATACTAAATAGACTAACAAACATAACCGACTATCTATTAGTCTGTCTAACAAATGGAAACTTTTCCCATACCCATCTTGCATTATGCCCTGTGCTGTATCCCAATATCAACAACATTTTCTTGGAGGGGGGGGGGGGACCTTGGCGTACCCGTGCCATGTTTAGGGCTGGGATAAGCTTGGTTCCCTAAAAAATTAAGAGACCATGTGAAGAACAATTAGTGCTTGTAAAGTTCAGTTCTTACATTTTTGTGAAAAATAATATAATAACTTTTATTTAGTGTTCAGTTCTATCTGATTATTAAGCTTAGCTCTTGAGTACAAAACGTTCCCCTATATATCGGTTCAAAATCTTATACGAGTAAATTCATAAGGATAAATGTAAATGATTAAGGCATTAGTGAACACTGAACATAGTTACATGATTAAGAAAGCAGTAGACAGTGATCAATGATCCTAGGAAGAGGGAAAAGATTTAAGATATTTCAACAGGTAGAGTGCGGTTTTGAAATATTTTTAAGATGTGTAAAATACTAAAATATCAGACCACAGATGTTAAGAGTTAAACTTTCACTTGGTGTATAATTGTGTGGCTATACTTTAAAGTAATTAATTAATGAGCTCTTCACCTCTTCCCTCCATATTTGAAGTAGCAACTGAAGTTGTTTGCACAAGAAAGTGAGCAATCAATTATGTTGCTCTTGCTTCAAATCAAGTGTCCAATCATTTTCTTTAATGTTTGATGCTTCATGATATAACCTTATGCTTATCTGGCATTTGATTCTCATTTGCTCATGACTTCAGAAAAGTTATCCTAATGTCCAAGCACAGCTCCTTGAGTATGACCAAAGGTTCAGTTCATATGGATCTGAGTTCACATTCTATGACTACAACACACCAGAAGATCTTGCTTCCTCATTGAAACATTCATATTCCGTCATTGTTGCTGACCCTCCATACCTGGTAAGTAGTGGTAATCATGCTTTAAGTGATAGCAATCTACTTGCTTCACACTCATTGTAGGTCATTCCATGTAACTTGGCATTGGATGCTTTCTGTGTTGACAGTTAGTTTGTTACTCAAATAACTGGCGAAACACCCAGTATACCATATTTATAAAAGTCTAGGTTTTGATTCGATTAGAAGTAGGTGCAAAAGTAACTTTTTAAATAAGATGAGATTGTCAAAGAACGTACGAAATTTCCTTGTGATGTCAATTTAGTCTGTGCATGAGATAATTTACCAACAGTCTTGATTTACACCAATGAGTTGGTGGCATAAACCATGAGATACTTTGATAAGGTCATCTTTAAGACTAACTATTTCCATATTGCATTCTTTTTGAGACTATAACAATAATAAGGGCGGAGGTAATGAAGGCCTTAGAAGGCTTCCATTTCAGTCTTAGCGATAGAATACATCTACATAGTACTCAAGGGATATAACCAAACATGACTTGTTGTGGTTACTGACACCGCTAGTAGGTTACTTTTGAACACTAATGCCCCTTCAAATATGAGACAAGAAATGGGCTATACTTTTTGAACTTCTACGTGATTTAGAGTATCAACCCTGGATGGTATTTCTCTAATTGCAAAAGGTAATTTCTTGAATATAAACTATCAAAAGTATTTCAAGAAAAACCTCCCAAGGTTATCTGATCATCTCAAAATCCGCTTCTCAATGTCTCATAAATGAAAATACAGTCCTGACTATAGTCAATACTTAAGGGAAAATCTCTGAAATAAGAGTAAAAATGTTTTGGAATTCCAAAATAGGATTGTTATGTTTTTATTTCCTAAATAGGAGTAATTACTGTCACGTTACCATTTTTAAGTCCGGTAAATCGGTAATGCCAAAACATGGCACTAATTGCTCTTATTTAGAGAATAAAAATGTGACAATTCTATTTTGGAATTAACGAACTTTTTACTCCTAGTTAGGGCAATTCCTTAATACATACTCCCTTCGTATTTTAAAGTTTGTTACACTTTACCTTTTTGGTAAGTTTTTCCCTTAAAAATACTCAATTACGCTTACTTTTTCTACACTTTATCTTCTCTTTCATACCTTTTCACCCTCTCTCATTCTATTCATTACCCCTACTATTTCCTCCTTAAATAATGTGTCCAAGCCTAATGAGCAATCTTTAATACGGAGGGAGTAAAATATTATCCTCTCCATCCATGGACTTGTTTCATAAACAAATAAATGAGTAGTTGATTCTTAGTTCTATCATCATGTCACATCTGTCTATTTTGCAATCAACATGCATTGATTATGTGATGTAAATTTTGGATTTGTTATCATCTAGGTTGCACCGAAATGAGACACAACTCACCTTGAATATCACAAGTAAACCTCCCTTCGTCCCAAAATGCAAGATGAATTTGAGTTCGGCTTGAATTTTAAGTAAGGTGGATATTTGTTGTTTTACAATTATAAGCTCCCAAGTGAAGAGCTTTGGTATTGTTCCACAAAAAGTAAAAGCTGAAAAGATAGATAAAAAGATAAAGTGAGAACGTAAAAAGTTACTAAAGTTCAAATTAGAAAATTGTTCATATTTTTGGGACAAATAAAAAAGGAAAGCGTATCCTACAAAATGGAATGTAGGAAGTATTAAATATAGATATACCTTAACTGGGTGCATAGTTAAATTGTGTCGGAATTGAGGATGAAGTGTGTTTAAAATATTGTTTTTTTTTTTAAAATTTGATACCCACGTGAAGAAGACACTTGACACATATACATGTTATGCCTCTTGCAGCGTTGATGATGATACTACTAGTACTATTACTTGTAATAATAATAGTAATTGGTCCTATACTGTGATTTGCATATTTGTTTACAATATCAATCGTGTAGTGGAACATGACAATTACAAACATCTCAACTCATTGTTGTCGCATTATATTCTCCATGCATGTGGCAGGAATGGCACAACCCGGCAAAACACTGACACTGTTTTTTACATGGGTTATAGCGTTAATTAATTCTATACAATTGATTGGCATTAGCCCTATAAATTTAGAGCCGGTTTGGTAACATTGAAATTTGCTGAATCATGTGTATCTGTGGAAATTGATGAAATGCCAACGTAAGTGACTGAATCTGCTGAACTATGGAAAATTTGTATTAAAAATAACCACATTGGTCCTCTGCAATAACTGTAGCCAATTCAGCCAGAAAAGTAACTCCGGCCTTGTTTTGATTATAACACAATTTAGCGCGTAATATCAAAACTTATGTGTTAGGAAAAATGTTGACTTGTAAAGCCGATGAGCTGAAAATAAAAGTTACCACACAGACTCTTAATGCCACCGACCCCAAGTTCCAACTAGTTGGGAGTAAAGAGCTGATAGTGATGATTTAGTTTGCAATTTTGGATGAGCATGTACGGAGTTCCAAGTTCCAAGTTCCAACTTTACTTTGTACAAGGCAATAGTGGTTTTATGATCTTGTGGTTTTGTTCGACAGAGTATGGAGTGCTTGGAGAAAGTCAGCAAAACTATATCTTTTCTTCTGAGATCGGGACCATCATATGTACTTCTACTCACTGGTATGATGTTGGATTTTTAACACTGGTCATTCTTTGCTTGCTTTCAATAAATAGTAAACTGTTTCTAAGTTTCTTACTTGCTTTTTACGCCTTTAGGTGAAGTGCAAAAGGACAGGGCTGCACAGCTATTGAATTTGCGTCCCTGCAGGTTTAGGCCTCAACACAGCAGCAAACTTGGCAACGAGTTTAGGTTGTTCACCAACTATGACCCAGGGGTGCGGCTTGGTGGCTGGGAAGATGAATGAAAAGCATCATTACCCTTGCCATGGAGCTTTGAGGCCAAATTAGATTGTAAAGTAATTTTTTTGGAGCATCATATTCCAGCTGCTGATATTTGTAGCAGACTATTAATATCAGCTTACGTTTCTTGATTAACTTGTGCTTCAAAATTACCTGTAGAACTAATTATTTCTAACCCATTTCAAGTTTATGAATTTCATCAGCTCTATCTGTAAGTAATTCTGACCAAAGTTTCATGCATAGAGTCCACCATACAATGATGATGTGGAATTGTGGATACAATTCATGTAAAGTGGATTCTTCGCATGAATTATGTTGCCACATGATTTTTTGGTCAAATATTTGAATATTATTGCCGATTTAAACATTTACGTATAATTATGGTAATGTTTTGTTTCATTGAGACTTGAGAGTTGAGGTACCAAAATGTAACAATACCAACTTACCAAGTACCTTTGTGCATTTTACCTCAAGTCCCCAACTATCACTATATGGTGCAAAACATTGAAAATAGAAGCGCCGATCATCAGAGTTTTGTTAGCAACAAAATACTTTTAGTGTTTAAATTATTATACCAATCGGTTAATTAGATTATAAATTTGTAATAATTCTGGGATTTCGTTACTAAAATTGTCAATTACAAAATTGTCAATTACGTGTTACTATGTAAGATTAACCTTTCATTGCTCAATGTAAGCTTTGGTTAAATAAAAAGGTAAGTTAAGGTAAACAATTAATAAAATACTACTACGCATTTAATTTAACATTTTTTTTGGAACAAAGACTAGCCTTTATTCATATCAAAAGTTTCAGGATCATTACATTAGTGCTGGACTCGGGTCGGTTCGGGCCCGGTTCGGGCCTGGGCCCGGCCGGGCCTCGGGCCAGGAAAGGGAGGCCCGAGCCCGAACCGCCGGTGGCCGGTTCCGGTCCCGGTTCCGGGCCAAACCGGGCCGGGCCGGGCCGAACCGGCCCAATTAATTTTTTTTTGTTCTCCTATTTAATCCCCTACCCCTCCCCCTCAACCCCAAACCATCCCAAACCACCTCAAATGGCCCAAAATACCTAATCCAACCTAAAACTTAAAAAAAATTCAAAAAAAATAATAATTAAAATCCGGCCCGGACCGGGCCCGAACCGGCCGGGCCGGTTCACCAAAACCTGGGCCCGGGCCCGAACCGCCCAGCAGCCGGGCCGGGCCGAACCGAACCGGTGGACCCACCGGGCCCCGGGCCGGGCCGGGCCAAACAGTAACCGGGCCGGGGTCGGTTCCGGGCCGGGCCGCCCGGCCCGAGTCCAGCACTAATTACATCAATCAAGGGAAAAACAAAAGTGACACCAACTACTCAACTAGACTCCAACAACTACGACTGTAAACCCTATGATGAGCTTTAGAAACGGTCATCCCTGAGAGAGCAACACGAATCACTAACCATGTAACAGACTTGACACAGCCATTTATTAGTTCATTTATTATTATGATATTCCATTTTTATAATTAATAGCTCATCAATGCCTTCTAGCCACTCCAATGACCGCCACCGCCATCACAGTTGCCACCATAGTGACTTTGCGGTTAGTGACTCTGTCACCCTACTTCATTCTGTGATTTCGTTGACCACCACCGGAGTAACTTCACCAGATTGATTGTTCAGATTCAGCGGGCGCAAGTTTATTTTCTTTGAAGTTATTATTGATGGCATAAGAGAATGTTATCTAGGTTTGGTAGCATTAGTGCTTAAAGAGGTTGCGGATAGACCAATTGTTTCTATGTTCTATCGATGTCATGGGCAGATAATTCCTTTTTATATATGATATCCGTTCAACTTTGACTTATTAATGTAGCTTCTCAAAAAAGAATCATACATTTTTATATAATTTAATTTGAGTTTTGAAATTATTGGAGTATTGTGGTTTAGTTTAATTAGTAAATACGGAGTATAAAGATAAGGAAAAATTGATAGTAATAATCCCAACTATTGGCGGTCCGCTCATAATAACCCCAACTATTGATTATTACAGAATAATCCCAACTTTAGGGACTTTCCGCCAATAATAGTCCTTATGAATAAATTCTTGTAGTTTCTAAAGTGGATGAGATGAGATATAACAAGTAATCTCTATAAATAATCTCAACTTTTAATTTTTACGCTTAATTTCTATTTAAAATTCACTTTTTATAGAGGTAATATATGGTCATGGACCATTATTGGCGGATAGTCTATATAGTTGGGATTATACAAAAATAATCAATAATTGGGATTATTTTCAGCGGACCGGCAATAGTTGGGATTATTATTTTCAATTTTTCCTAAAGATAAAATAGTAGCATCAGAGATATGTTTTGATCTAAGTGCTGCGCTTGACTCTTCTATTTCAGAATCAAAGCTATTCTTCTAGTATATTCGAGTGTGACTAATTTGTCGATCTTTCTCTTCAAAGAATATGAGTGTATAGCACACCTTATCGAGGGTCATGGAGTATATAATGACCAAACCTCTTTAGATAGGGATGGACTTCTTGGTGAACAAGGGGGTGCTGATAAGAAGGGTGATGATAGGGGGAGTGATACTCCCGCTGGTTTTATTTTTGAGCACTCAGATTTTTCAGATCGTGAAGATTAGAGCTCGGGCTTCTCAAGGGGTATCTTCTAAGGCCACACTACTGAGAACAAAAGATGCACTCCTATATCGATGGTGGAGGAGGGGATGGTTCAAATACAAAGACCTATTCTCGTGCAAAGTGAGAATGAATCTCGTGCATTCATTTCCACATCTAATAACTCTAAATGAGCCAAAGTGCACAAAATTCGGCCAAAATCACGGTGACACTTTCATAAATATGTTGCACTTTTTCGCCACCGAGAAAAAGTAAAACATAAACACGAAAAAGTGCAAGGGAAACATGAAAAAGTGCATATCTTTTCACTTTAATTTGCACGGGAAGAGGTCTTTTTATTTGAACTCTTCCCTTGTGGAGGATTTATGAATTTTGACACTAACCAGAATATTTGCAATAAATCATTGTTGGGCATGAGGGATAACTGTTTGAACATACTGATAAAAACTTATAGAAAGAGGCATCAACATTCACATTGTATGTGGACGCGATCCCAAACTCATACACAACGTTGATGTTTTTCATTGAAGGCTTAGGGAGCTAGGATTTTTTGTACGGGCATCTGTGTACCTAGGCTTGAGCTTTCGTACTTCTATTCCACTCTTCGTGAAGTAAAACTTACTTATTCACCTTTTAGATTATCTCAACATAAAGGATATATTTCATCTTTTGACAAATAATCTTACATTCAATTCATATTTTACCATTCTTTTCTCTTAAATATACCACTTTATAATTCAAATTTTAGTTACATTAGGAATAAAGAGTTGTTTCAATTTCATAATTGAGGTGTCCAATTCTAACTTTGCCAAGTTAGAATTAGGTGAAAAATAAGTAAAGTGAAAATTGTGTGGTTAAAGTTAATGCAGAAAAGAGAGAAATGAGTAGAATCATAAATTAGTTACTTTAATAAAAAAGGGTTGTGCTAGAGGTACATACACTTTTACAAAAAGTCTTACAAAAGACCTTTGTGACAACATCACATTATTTAACACATCACATCGGTTACATCAAAAGTAATTATGAAAAGTAGTAAATAAGTTCTCGAACTAACTTAAAAAGTGCAAATCACCCCTTATATAGAAGGCTCTGTCCGACCATCGTCATTTGGGGCGGTTTCCGGTGGAATTTTTTAATGAAATTTTTTGAGCATCTTCTTCATTAAGTCTAGTTTACCCATACCAAATTTCAGCTAAAAACTCAACCCGGAAGGTAGTCAAATAATTTTCTGAAATATACTGCGTTGTTTAACTGTGCAATTATCTTCAAAAATTCATTTGACTGCCTTCACGATTGAATTTTTAGCTGAAATTTGGTATTGGTAAACTAGACTTAATGAAGAAGATGTTCAGAAACTTTCATCAAAAATTCCACCGGGAACCGCTCCAAATGGCGACGACCGGACAAAGCCTCCTATATAAGGGATGATTTGCACCTTTTAAGTTAGTTCGAGGGCTAATTTGCTACTTTTTCCAAAATAATTACATTGTTCCAAAAGGTGGAATCTCCCACCCAAGAGCCCCCTCGTCCTGGTCCGACAGAATGGTGGTGGAGTAAGTCATAGTGACTCAGTCGACCCAATAGTGATAGACCTTATACACGTGCGCATCGGAAGTCCAGCCTAGCACGCATGAGTTGTAACCTCCATACGGTCGCTGAAAGTTTTGATCCTTGATCATTGTTCCAAATTTTTCACCACTAAACCAACTGAGCTACCCGTGCGGGTTAAACTAAGATATTGATTTTTTGGAGGAGCATAGTTCTACTGATTAGGGGTGTGCACTATCCGGTTTAAACCGGAAAACCGGACCGAACCGGACCGGAAAAACCGGAACCGGATCGAACCGGAATGATATTCGGTCCGGTTTTCGGTTATAAAAATTTAGGAAACCGGTTTCCGGTCCGGTTCCGGTTTAAAACCGGATTATTCCGGTTTGAACCGGATTTAACCGGTTTTGCTATATTTTTTAATATATATTTACTAATACTAATATAATAATAGTTATAAAATAAAAAATAATACTCCATGCTAATAAAAATACTACGTATATAATAGCAATCAATTTCATAATGATTATAATATATATTAGCCTAATATTATATTCATTCATTCATTTTTATTCTCGTAATAATAAAACTAACTCATATATATTAATCTAGTCTCAAGTTACTTCAATATTTGCTCACTAAAATTAATTAAAATGAGTTTAGAAAAAAATAATAATAAAATTAATATTTTTAATAATAAGTACTCCATCTTTATCAAATGATTAGTAGCTTTTTTAGTAAAGAAAAAAATTATTTATTTAGAAACCGGTTTTTCCGGTCCGGTTCCGGTTTTGAACCGGATAAACCGGTTCGGTTCCGGATAAAAAGCGGAATACATCCGGTCCGGTTTTCGGTTTCTATATCATGGCAAATCCGGTTCCGGTTCCGGTCCGGTTGGGTCCGGTCCGGTCCGGTTTTGAACCGGTGCACAACCCTACTACTGATGCTAATGAGACTCGAACACGAGACCTTTTCTATGCAGGAGTAACCTCACAACCTTGATGTTCTGGTTACTTCAAAGTAATTCCAATAACTTTTGTAATTTAAAAGTACTCCAAAGTAAGTTTTTTTTTGGTAAATTTGTTGTACTTTTGCATTTTCCAACAAAAAAATAGAAAGTCATTCCACTATCTTACACGTTCACTTGATTTGGCTGTGATATCAATTACGGAGTACTTTGTCACCTTCAAAATTCACTTCATCAAACCGGTTCACAAACAGCAAACCGATGGGAAATAGAAGTCGGATCGGAGAGGCCTTACTTCGCGAAGATTCGTTTGGATCCGATTCTCCATTAGGACCATCACAGCTCAATTGAGGAACTGAGGAAGTTGTCGCCACAAGTGAGAATTCACGTGGAAATCTCGAGAAAACATCGCAGCGAAATGAGACCGAACATTGTTTCTGAGGTATTTTCTCTTCTTCTTTTTTTGTAACTTTGTATATAACTGCTGTGTACGTGTTTTTGCATTTCTGCATAAACGTCCGGAATATAAGTATGTGGAAATGCTTATCCTGGGGTTTGAGCGTAGTTGAAGTCCTAACTTTTGTCCATATATCGTGATTTATGGAGTCTTTGGGCAGTATGAGCTCTGATAATCATAATTAAATGGAGTTTGAGTTGGTACCAGATATTTTGCCGTGGTATAATAATTATATAAACTTGAATTGAGAGTTTGGAATACTTGTTTGATACGATCCGGATAAAAGTTGTTGCCATCTACCTTCATCTAATATGCGTTTGGGGAGGAGGGGGATAGCCTGATATAAACCGGAAGCCACTAAAGTTGTAGGTTCCGTTTACAGCTCCTAGTTTACCTTGACCTTTCAATACTGGGTGGATAGAAGTGAGAGTATAGGATATATCTCCATTGCTCTAAAGTTCATGAGAAGTATCATGGTTTACTTGTAATTTTTTTGTTCTTTATATTCATTTGAAATGTGGTATCCTGAGTTCAAAATGCACTTATCAGGAATGCTATCAATGATTGGCTCCATTAATGCATTCTATACCTTAATTATAGCATCCCAGTGAGCTTTTGATTTGTTCCAAATGAAGAGGTTAATACCATAAGTAACTATGAAGGTGTTTTAGTCGTGATTATGTGAAATCATCTTTATCCAGTTTTGAGGTGACTGATAGGGAGAACTGAAAATTGATCCCATCCATTCTCTAATACTCCCTCTGTCCCATTTTGGTTGTCCTACTTTCCTTTTTGGGTTGTCCCAAAATGAATGTCTTGTTTCCTTTTTTGGCATGAAATATGTGGTTCTTATCAATTCACTTTATCCTACTCAAATCTCAACCACAACTTTTACTTTCCAACCACTTTATTAATAATCGTGTCAAATTGAAAGTGGACAACCATTATGGGACGGAGGTAGTAAGTAATTTACATCCATGTTCTTTTTCCAACCATTATACCATGTGTGTAGGCTGGGATACAAACAAGGTTGAACAACTGGTGGGAAGGCATTCCATTCTTCACGTCTACTATTATTATTACTTGTGGGGTTATTTACTTGGTTTGCCTTCTGATCGGGTATGACTCCTTTGCCGAAGTATGCTTCTCACCATCAGAAGTGATTTCACATTTTGAAGGTATATTTCCACGTAATATGTATGTATTTGTTAAAATTGATGCCAACATTGAGCTCTCCCTTTGATACAAGAGTATATGAAATTGCTGGCTACTATGTTGTTTGGATGTTTGTAAGATAATTTATTATAGGCTAAAGGGTCAAATAGGCCCTCAAACTAACTTAAAAAGTGCAAATCACCCCTTATATAGGAGGCTCTGTCCAGCCGCAGTCATTTGGGGTGGTTCCCGGTAAAAATTTTTGATGATTTCTTTTAGCATCTTCTTTGTTAAGTTTAGTTTACTCATACCAAATTTCAGCTAAAAATTCAATCGGGAAGGCAGTCAAATGAATTTTTGAAGATAACTGCGCAATTAAACAGGGTAGTACATGTCAGAAAATCATTTGACTGTCTTCCCGGTTGAATTTTTATCTGAATTTTGGTATGGATAAAACTAGACTTAATGAAGAAGATGCTCAAAAAATTTCATCAAAAATTTCCACCGGAACCGCCCCAGATGACGATGGCCGGACAAAGCCTCCTATATAAGGGGTGATTTGCACTTTTTAAGTTAGTTCGAGGACCTAGTTGACCCTTTAGCCTTTATTATATTATAATGATAACAATAGCAGATCTTAATTTGTTCGTTGTTTTGCTTCTGGCACCTTTTAATGCCCTTTTTATATCCAATGGAGAGTTTGTGTAGGGTTTGTCCGAAGTCCATCTCAATAGCAATTTTCAGTTGGCACAGTTACCCTTCCTAGGCCTGGAAATGCACACATATTAGTTTAAAATATATGCTTTATTGATGCGCACATTTTAAACTTCTATGAGAGCCTCTACAGTTACTACATCCATCCGACCTTCCCTTGTTGGGAGGATGCGCTGGTGCTTTTTGAGAGTTGTGAGATCATTGATCAAACTTATCAAAGCAATTGCTCAGAGCATATATAGAGAATGCTTAGCCACTAGTAAAAAGTTTTACAGTGTGCTTATTACTCATCTATTTATAAACTTTCCGAAGATCACCCTGATAGAGAATACATAGATTTTAGGAGTGGTGATTGGAGGCAAATGACTAATGCAGTTATAGGAGTTATAATGGGGGGTCGGATTTAATGGGAATCATTTGTTTATATCCCTGCTGGGCAGCATCTGCAGAAAGTAGTACTTGCTAGTTCATTTAGGGCCAGCGTGGGAGTAGGTTCTTGGGAGGGGGGATTTGGAGAGCTAAGTATATTATATCATGATGTATTCCTATATTCTAGGAATATTGAAGAAAAACATAATATGTGATGATACAATATATCAAATATCAATCAGCCTATTTTATCAACCCCTCACAAATGAAAATAAAAAATCATCTGAACATACCATTACTGACTTACTTATTGTAGTAGTCTTTATGCTATATTGGGTGAAGAGAAACTGGAAACTTAAGGTAGACCTGAATGGTTAGTTCATTTTGGATCTTAGAAAAGAGAAGATTTTTTCCGTAAATCATAAGTCAAAGAAATGAATCCATCGCCTATATATAGTATATACACTATTAAGCACTGATTACTCACAAGGTACTTTACCCCTATATATCATGGGCAAATCTCAGGTTCTCAGAAGTCTTGGTTAATACATTTGCAAGTTGGTTGTTTGAGCCTATGGATGTTGCAATGATTTCTTCAGAAGCAACTTTTTCTCCCTAAATAGCAACCTACTTCAATGATCTTTCTTTCATAAAAGAGTGGGTGTGATGCAATATGTCACATGCTCTTGGATTATTATACATTGGCACAGGCTTCATGGTCCTAAGTTCCTAACCCCTAACTGATAAAACATTAGATCGGCAAGAAGATGCTTCAACTAAATCTGTTCGGACATTCGAAGTTCCATCATTTCCGATGGAGCTAAAGACTCATTATTTTTTGGCTTGGAAATATAATGGAATAAAGTAAAATGGATCACTAAACTGTCTGCGCTTCATAGTTATGAAGCAGCAGTCAGTCTATGCAGTTTTCGACGTGATGTTCATCATGCGTCATTTGGAAACATTCTCTCCGTACTTCAGTACGAGGTAAGGCTACGTACATCCAACTCTCCTTACCCCATTGCAGGTGGGAGCCTTTGCGGCACTGGGGTAATGTCGTATAAAAATTGGAGTACACTCACTTTATTGGTAGTCAACACTGATTTACATTAACTCATGATATAATCTCCAACCAATAACATAATCTACATCTTTTTCTCTTTCTTTAAACTTCCTTTTTTATGGTTTTTGTGTTTCTCCCCTTTTCCGTTCACATACAGGTTAATAAAACTGATAGTAATGAAACTTAATAAAGTTGATAATTAAGGAGTAGTGTTTATGAAGTTAATATATATATATATACTTAGCACTTAGCAGTGTTGTAAAAAAATAATTTTACCCCATTTTTTAGGAGAAGTTGTTGTGAGGGTGCTAGTGAGAATAGGTGTGCTTATGTCTTAAAGTTTTTGCTTCAACTAATGCACATATAAAGCGCTAACACCATTGTGCGTTTTTCCTTGCAGTTTACAGGATTTTTTCATCTGTTTTTTTCCATGGCTCTATACTGCATGTTCTATTCAATATGTTAGCTTTTGTTCCACTGGGATCTGAGCTAGAGCGCATTATGGGATCAATCCGCCTTGTCTACATAGTGGTTTTATTGGCTGCAAGCAATGCTCTGATCCATCTTCTTATGGCACTAGCAATAGCTCACAATCCATTTCACTCATACCCAGATCTATTGTATGAGTGTGCTATAGGTTTCTCTGGGATATTGTTTTCTATGATTGTGATAGAGACAAGTCTAAGTGGAATTCAGAGTAGAAGGTTTGTCACTGACTTGTGATAATGGTACTTTTTAATTGGTCAGACACATGTGATAATGGTTCTTTGACCTTCCTTATGCTTGGACTATGTTTTGCATAAAACCTCTATGATGGTTACCTAAATATAACTTTGTGTGTCAGTTGAAACAATTACTTGGGCTTGTCAAATGATATATCTAGGGTATACTGGTTTTGGCTTAAAGTGTATGTAGGCTGCACATATGTATGCTAAACAATTGCTTGTATATTTGCTAATTAGAGTTGCTGTTTTTTCAACAGTGTATTTGGACTTTTTAATGTTCCGGCTAAATGGTAAGTCATGATACTGCTCAGCTTTTTGTCTTCATCTTTAAACAAACTTTATCAGTCTTTTCCCTCCTTTTAAGAAACGTGTCTATCTCGTTAACCACTTATTTACTGGATTGTTATCCAGGTATGCATTGGTCTTGCTAGTGGTTTTTGAGCTTCTTATGCCAAATGTCTCGTTTCTTGGGCACCTATCTGGTATTTTGTCTGGATTTGCATGTATGTTCTGTACCTTCTGATCTTGATCTAGTTTCTGAGTATCCCTCTGCTTATCTTGTTGTTTTTCTAAATCTTCTTTCTTATTTTGTTTTGTGATATCAGATACTAATGGTTTCTTCAACATTCTAATACCCGATACATCCCGCTTTTCATCAATTGAATCATCCTCATGGCTTGTAAGTAAGCTTCCCATCCACGCACAAGTGGCATCCCACTTTCAAAGTCAATAATGATATTATCATCTTGATCACTGAATGTTTGTGATAGAGGGAGGGTGTGCAGTGTGCTTGCTGCATACCCTTTTGGCCTTTTAGCGTCAAAGTCCCACATTCAAAATTTGTATAATTTTGCCCCCTCTTTTCCATTCTTTCCTGCCTGCCATGCTCATTTTCGTGGGGCCTCATTTATTGGTGCAGTCAGCTTGTGTGAGGAGGCCAAAGTTTATGATGTGCACCGGGAATGTTTCAGGTCACCTTCCAACATATTTAAGTCAGAATACAGCTTCAAGGTAATTCATTCTATTCCCTGAAGTTCACGTGTTGTTTATTTTTAAATTTCTCTTTTTGGCTTTAGGGCATTGTCTAATGTCTACTATTTTGTTTCATGTTAGAAGTGGATTGCACTTCGGAAATATGTGGAGGAACTGGTCTTCACTGATGCCACAGAGTGGAAATTCTCATCCCACTCAGGTATGAATTTTATTGTCTTGATTTACTAAGCATACAAAGATTTGAGAATATGTGATTGTAAAAGGCTGCCTTCTGCTTGATTGAATTCATATATGAATCATAAGTTTAAGGCAGAGTGGACAAAAATAATAACTGTCAATCTGTAATTTATTTTACTGCTGTTATATTTTTATAATGCACATGTCACATGACATATGCATATGCACAAGTAGTCTACTTTTAGGCTATATACTTCTTTTGTTGCTTTCCCAGTCAACAGGGAGCAGTTTTTGAACTGATACAATCTGATTGTAAGCTCATTTGGTGTTTCGCTTGAATTACAGTCCATGCCAGATGATAATCGTTTCCCTGGAACCGGGAGGACCCTTGCATCTGGTCTAAATCGAGCTGCTTCTACAGGAAGTCCTGATTCAAATTTAATGGTTAGTCTGCTAGATAATAATGACAGCCTAGAACATGTGTCAGCTCCAATACATGGCGGGCAACAGAGACCTCCGCCTGGAAGGTATTGGAAAAGCAATTTAATATCAGTCATATTCAACGTGTAATATTTCTCTTCCAGTGTCTTTACCTCTTTGCTATGTGCTGCACTACTACTAGCTCTATTTAGTTGGGCCTTTGCCCCTTTCTTCTCTTGCCACATTGCTGAAACTGCTTTATAGATCTTCGGATGCACTTTTTCATGCATTATATTCTTTTTCTTTGTAGTTTGCTGGTTTTTAGAGATCTTTAATAGCTCAATGCTTCACCTTTCAGGCCAGAAGCCGTGAATACAGCTGCAGCAGTGCAAATCCCTCAGGTATTGTGTGGTGGAATAATTTGCCAACATAAATAAACGAACAAATAAATAGTCTATTCCTTCGTTTTATCTCAGGCTTACTAGTAATACATATGACATTACCTTTAAATCAAATTAGGGCCGTGTCCCATCAGATGAAGACATTCAGAAACTGGTTGCGATGGGTTTTGATAAGGTAGGCATCTCAACCCTATTGCTTTCTTGTGGTTGGTATAAAAGAAATTCATTTTGCTTTCAGTGCCAACGGTATTTTATTTTTCCCAGACCCAAGTTGAGGTTGCTCTAGAAGCTGCTGATGGAGATTTGAATGTTGCCGTGGAAATTCTTATGACCCAAAAGGTAGATTTGTGAGTATTTATGTTATTGTAGTGCTAATAGGGGTATGCTGCACAATTGCTAAGAATCTAACACTATGCTTGTCTGCCCACTGACAGGAATAGTTTCTTTGACAAGGCTGACTGAATCTAAGATGTTGAGTGATGTCTTAAACCTAATGAATGATGATATTCCAGTACCCTCATCGTTATGTATATATGATTCTTAGATTTGTCTTTTCTCTAGTAAGCTAAATTGAGACAGGCATACTAAAGGTTAAAGTATTAATTCGTCATACATCTCAGCAACGTGGTGGCTTGCCTCGATCGACTTGTTAGGCTCCACAGATTACATATAGCACACTGGATGTTTTATACCATTTCAAATCAGGTGTGCCAATGTACAAAAACTTACCGTGTGGCAACACACTCAAAAGAACACTTCCTCTTGCCTTAACTTTTCAAATGGTGCCAAGTTTTATACCATATGATTACTTTCTCCAATACAAAGATGCCTTGTTTTTAATATGAGAAACAGAGAAAGAGTGCTCCCAATTAAAAACAGTATGCTTTTGTTTAGATGAAAGTGCTAGGGAAGTTTGGAGGTATCGTGCCTAGCAGATCACTCTAACCATATGTATCAATTGATATGTCGAATTTTTTATGCACATATTACCAACAGTCCCGGCAAGATGGGTTCAACTTGAACTGTGCGGGCTCGGATCGGCCCGGTGAACCGGTTTGTGCCCGGTTCGGGCCACCCGGCCCGGTGGTATAGCGGTCCGGGCCCGGGCCCGGGCCCGGGCCTCCAGTTTAGTGAACCGGCCCGGCCGGGCCGGGCCGGGCCCAGTTCGGGCCGGGCCCGGTTCGGGCCGGAATTTATTTATTTTTTTTTTTGATTTTTTTTTAAGTTTTGGGTTGGATTAGGTATTTTGGGCCATTTGAGGTGGTTTGGGGTGGTTTGGGGTGGAGGGGGAGGGGTAGGGGGTTAAATAAGAGAAGACGAAAAAAAAAATTAAAAATCCGGGTGGCCCGGTCTGGCCCGGAACCGGACCTGGAACCGCCCACCACCGGTTCGGGCTCGGGCCTCATTTTTTTGAACCGAGGCCCGGCTGGGCCCAGGCCCGAACTGGGCCTGAACCGGAACCGGTCCACCCCTAGGTTCAAGGCAATGTTCTAAAAGGCGTTAAGCGCTAGTCGGGCGCCAGCCCAGCGCCTAGCGCCTAGGCGGCTAGGCGGACGCCTAGTCGGGGACTAGTTGGATCATAGAAATTGCATTTTATCTATATTTTTGAATAAATATGATAAGTAATATTGTATTCTAGTGTGAATAAAATACATATATACACATACATTAACAAAATGAATGATAGAATTATCACATTTAATCATACAGAGTATATGATAACTAAACACTTAATTTCATTATGTTATAAATATAAAGAATAATAAATTTTAGGTATATATACAAACATATATTGTCTTTATTTTAATTTACAACTTCATTTCTTTATATCCGTGACTAAAGTTAAAGTATTTATATCGTTTAGAAAATTAAAATTTAAAAGTAAAGTAATGTTCGACGAATCTGGATGGCCTAGGCGGCCGATTAGGCGCTCTGGGCGGGCAATTAGGCGCCATAAGCGGCCGACTAATTCACCTAGACGGCAAACCAATTAGTCGGAGCGCCTAGACAAAAATCGGGGCGCTCGACCACTGCCTAACGCTTAGGCGAGGACTAGTCGGATGCCTAGAACGATTTTTAGAACAGAGGTTCAACCATATTTTGTATGATACTACCGACAAAGAGAATAAAAGCTAGTCAGAAAATACACCTTAAAACGTAGCTTTCTGCGTCTAGTGAGTGGGTAGTTATATAGGCCGACCTGTGTATCAACATATTAGGAGAGGACCCTTTCTTGAATGGATATTATGATCGTCATGTAGTGATGTAGGTATGAAATAGTGAAATACTCGAGGACTTCGTACCTTCTATTCCAAGTGTCTTTGTGGTACACTTGGCACATAATTTCTTTTAATAGTTCTCTAGGCAATGGCATATTGTGTCTTTGTAAGAGTTTGACCCTAGTTAAGACGGTTGAGCCTCACAACAATAAATACACCTCGATCCTTCATGTGAGGCCACTCTTTTCGCTAGAGTTAAGTAGTGATTTATGTGTTGATTTAGCTTAAGTCAACAGTTTGAACTTGTAATATATCAAACTGCTACCTTTGAGCGAAATATTTATACATATTCTAATGTGTTTGAGATGTTTTGCTTCATATGGTTGAGTTTACCACTTGCGTCACTTTTCTTAGTCCTACCACCTCTTTGATCCATTAGAAGAACAAACCAAGTCGTTGTTGGGGTATGGTATGTACTAACATTAAAGCCATGTGTTACATCAATAGCCAAACAAACAGCTGTCTCATTTTACTTTTGTTCCTCATGATCGTTAAGTATACCAAATGAGCATGGTGTGCTGGTGAAGTTCCATCCAACAAAAGCACTTTCTCAAGATGAAGACCTTTGTGAAATGTAGTCTCATTCATGGAACTCTACTGAAAGACAAAACAGACTAGGAAGAACACAAGTAGCATCCAAAGCTAATCAAGCGTCCTAGCGCTCGAGAAGATGTTTGAAAGTGTTTGGCCTCTTCCTAAATTAATTGTGCTTGCAAGAGGATGAAAACAACTAAATGAGAGTGTCATTTGGCTTCTCTTGCAATGAGTAAAAGTTTAGCCGTCTAATAGAGTGTTGGGCAAGTGAATGTGGAACATGTATTTTTGGAACTCAAATCTCTGTGGTAGCGGCTGCATTGCCCAATTACCTGTTCTCAAACTCAAAGTATTCGATCATCATAAACTTCATTATTACAGTAGTCAGTACCAAAGATCAGATTAATTTTAGACAACAATCAGAATCTTCAGTATTTTAATTAACTAAGATTAAATGTGCTAGTAGTTTATATTTTATTTTTTTTCATTCATTACACAATATATTAACCACGAAGGAAGTTACTACGTTCTACAGCTATATGCATGTGACGAAGTTAGATTATTTCACACAAGGTAAATCTAAAAAGGTCACACAGTTACACATGCAATGCCCCTTATCTCCATAGTTTTCAAAACTACCAACTAAAAGAGTGTTTACATTTGCTTCTACTTTTATGAAGTGATTTGTTTTAAAGAGTACGCAAAAAATGATTAATAGTAAAAGTTAAAGGTGTTCGAAAATAAAAGTGATTTTGAAAAAAGGTAAAAAGTTAAAGTGTTTGATAAAAAATAGTTTAAAGCAAAACCAAATTACTAAAATGGCAAATTAAAAGGAGAGGGTTATTAGAGAATTTAGTAAAAAAAGTTCCGGGATTTCTTGATAATTAAAAAAACTAATGTATTGGTTCAAATGTTAAGATTGTATCAAATGTTTGTTTGGCTTAAAAATGATTTATTGGTGTTCTGAGTTACAAAAGATTTGTTTCAACATATTTCGGGTGGTTTTATACTTATACTAGTATGTGTACCCGTGCGATGCACGGGTAAATATGTGTTTAAAGATTTTATTGAAATTGTAGGGAAAATGAATTGTATGTTAATTTATCAGTCAGAGTTTAAAAGAAAATTCAATCGACTATGGATATAGCTGTCAAAGTGAGTCAAAATTCATAGGGCTAACCCAATCTCATTTCATGGTGGGTTAGAGTTGTCATTCTTCAATCCGCTGAACTCACCGGTTTCGTGATGCAATTTGCACAAGTTGCAGGTTAAATGAGTTACCCATGCAGGTTGCGAGTAAACCAAAATATAAACATCTATTTTTAACTTTCATTGTCTTCAATATTGCTGCTTTACTACCAAAATAATTTTCAAAGATACTTATTAATTTACAACCCTTGTTGAACTATTGTTTCTATATATAATAATTGTTCAAATAAATCACTATAGCATTATTTCTATATATGAACCAAAACGTTAGATTTGAAGATTATAAATTATATATATATATAAGATTGAGTTCAAATGAGAAGACACTTTAACGGGTAAAGGAGAATTAGAATGTCAAATTTGAAAATTGTGCATTATTTGAAATAGAAATATGTGTTGTCATAAATTAAAAAAATGTAGTGACATTTTTGTAAATAAATTCAACCTTTCATGTCTATTTAAAGTCTGAATTATATTAATTATAAGTGTATTGCGCACCTCCATTAAAAATAATGTGCATTGTTTGAGATCATTCTCATCTTTTGAGACCATTAGGCAATTAGACGATTCAAGCTATGAAAAACATAACCTACCACGTGTTGGGTAAGATTAAGATTGGGGAGTGCTAACCCATTTAACAACGTGAACATAAATTGTGAAATATAAATAAATATGAGACAAAAAAACGAATCTACATTTAGACATTGATTTGGTAGACCTTGTGAATTAATAAATAGATAAGTAATATCACATTTGTCCCCTTGAGATCGAGACATGTGCAGCTATGAAAAAAGAGTTTATCTAGCTAATATTGAAATGCAAAAGTAGGGACAATAATGTAAGAATGATTTAGAGCTACACATGTATTATAATATCTGGACCTACACAAACTTAGTGAACGAAAGAAAAAGGAAATGTCGGAGAAAATTAATGAGACAGGGGGTGTAATAATTATCATATTTTGGAAAGAAATAAAAAAAATTATAAAACCCCGAACAAGGGAGAAAAGAAATAGAGTAATTATTTTTGTTTTAATAGTGGCTAAAAATTGTTAATTATTTTTATTTTTGAGTATTTGGATTTTGTAATACACGCGAGTGCAAAATTTTACCTAAAAATTTACCTAATTTTATATAGAACAAATTTTCTATAATATTGGAATACATAAGAGTAGAGTTTTGGAAGTTGAATAGCCTTTTCTTTAATTTATTATGTTGTCAAATGTCATTTTTTTTTGAATAATTACATAAATATGATCAAAATAAAGATGGTTTACAAATATGATTAGTTACTAGAGTAGTAATGAAATTTACAATTGTGCACATCTTTTTGACATGGTGTATGTGCTTTACTTCTATAGAGAGAAGCTGTCAAGCTGTGCTGTTTCTTTAGTTAGCTTTGAGCTTTAAACAACTTTCTGCACTGTGTTTGAAGGACCAAATGCAGTAATAATGTGTATTTTAATTTAAAGTTTTATTATCTACCATTAAAATAGGTAGTATAAAGTTGTGAAGTGTAAACATCCTTGAGCCCAACTTGAATTTCAAAATAGAATGAGTGCAGTATATTAAAAATAAGAGTTTAACACTCTATACTTACTATTATCGCTTGTTCTTTGATTTCTCAAGATGTGGTTCTTTTCACAACCTTTGATTTGCCCCTACTCCATTTCATGAATCAAAACTATTTTCAGCAGTTCGGATAGTTACATGTTCAATTGAGCGTTAGAGAGTCTAGTGAAATATATCATGTTTTAAGGTTTTAAAAACTAGTAAATGATTAATTAAAAAATTAAGGAAGTAGAGTATATATATATATATATATAAATGAAACTAAACAAAAAT